AAATGGTGTTAAGAACCACATTAAATGTATTGAGGTAAAGATTAAAAATGTTGAGATAAAGATTAAAAGGTATTGATGTAATAATTAAAAGGTGTTGAGTTACAGATTAAAGGTGTTGAAAACAAAATTAAATGGTATTGAGAACAAGATTAAAGATGTTGCGAAAAAAGGTTAAAAAATATTGAAAACGAGATTAAAGGTGTTGAGAAAAAAGATTAAAAAGTGTTGAAAATAAGATTAAAGGTGTTGAGATTAAGATTAAGTTAAAGGTGTTGAGAAAAAATGAAAAATGGCGTTGATAATAAGATTGAAGGTGATGAGAAAAAAGATTAAAAAGTGTTGAAAGGTATTGAGGCAGAAATTAAAAGTGTTGAGATAAAGATTAAAAGGTATTGATGTATTGATTAAAAGGTGTTGAGTTAGAGATTAAAGGTAGTGAAAATAAGATTAAATGGTGTTGAGAATAAGATTAAAGAGGTTTAGAATAAGATTAAAGGTGTTGAGAAAAAAAAATAAAAAGTGCTGAGAACAAGATTAAAGTTGTTGAGAAAAAAGATTAAAAAATGTTGAAAGGTAATGAGGTAAAAATTAAAAGGTATCGAAGTAAAGATTAAAAGTGTTGAGTTAGAGATTAAAAGTATTGAGGTAATGATTAAAAGGTGTTGAGTTAGAGATTAAAGGTGTTAAAAATAAGATTAAATGGTGTTGAGAACAAGATTAAAAAGTGTTGAAAACAAGATTAGAGGTATTGATAACAAGATTAATAGGTGTTGATAACAAGATTAAAAAATGTTGAGAATAAGATTAAATGTATTGATAACAACATTAAATGTGTTGAGAAAAATGACTAAAAATTGTTGAGAAGAAAAAAGATTAAAAGTTGTCGAGGACAAGATTAAAGGTGTTGAGAACGAGATTAAAAGTGTTGAGAATATGATTAAAAGATGTTGATAAAAAGATTAAAATGTGTTGAGAACAAAATTAATTAAGTTGAGAAAAAATATTAAAGGTGTTGAGGAAAAAAAAAAAAAAAAGTGTTAGAGAATTTTTTTTTTTTCTTTCTATTTTATTTTTTAGGTGATGTCTGAACAACCCAGTACAAGAGAGGGAAACGGCAGGACGGTAATGAGGGAGGGAGGCGCTGAAGCAGAAGATGATATTTTGTTTTCCTTTTTTTTTTTCTTTCTATTTTATTTTTTTTAACGTTAGTTCATTTTCTGTGGGACTCTAAAGTTACCAATTTTTAAAAAATATCTTTTTTCACTACAGCATGGGTACAACACGATTCGTTTACAGCAGAGGATCTTAATCCATCAAAAACACTGTTAAAAAAAAAAAAAAAAAAAAAAAACCTCTAAAATGACATTTTTAATTAGCCATCAACTTTTTAAATGTGCAATACTTTTTTAACCAAATATACTTTTATATTTTTGCTTTAAAAAATATTGCAACAAATTTACGATATCAAACAAGTTTCGAAATAGTGTTAAAAACAGTCTAAAACAGAAATATTACTTATACTTCGAATCAAAGTAAAAACATAAAGTAAAAACAGTCGATAATAATCACACTTCAAGACCAAATAGTATCTATTAGGGGTGCAACTTGGATGGACTAACCCAACCCAATCCAAACTCAGCCCATAAATTTTGAAATCTAGGTTTTTAAATTCACAAATCAGGTTCAAATTGAGTTGGATTTTGTCAAAACCTAGATATGTTCGGGATGGGCTCGAGCTCAACTCAAACCCAACCCAAAACCCAAAATAATAAAAAAAAAACTTAAGAAAAAAAATTATTATTATTATTTCTCCATTCTCTCTCCCCTCTCTTCTTTTCTTTTTTCCCTTCATTTTTTTTCTTCTTACCGGTAAAAGAGGGAGGGAGAGCTAAACCAGAGAGAGAAGGGAGACAAAAATAAAAATAATAATAATATCAATAAAAAAAAAAATTGATTCAATGATGATTTTGTAATAAAAAAAAAATTATGAAGAGGGCATACCCCTTATGGAGAAAAAAAGTTATTAGTTTGTTATTCCTTCTCAGTTGTGAATGATATATATGATATTTGGATGGTATATATGCAAGCCTAGATTGTATTCTAGTTGTTTTTTTTCCCCTACCCCAATAATTGTATTCCAGTATAAACAAACCCATTGTGGTTGTAAAGTAAAAGGTAAAGTATAGTCACACCGCCTGAGGTTTGGCAAAAGGACACTTAGAGGAAATTTATTTGTTTTTAGACAAGACACCGACACCCCTTTACATGAGAAATTGACCAAATTACCATTTGACCATTTATGAGACTTTTTTAACTTTATAATTTAATAAATTGGACCAATCTACCCTCATGAACAATTCATGCATAAAAAAAAGTAAAAAAAAAAAAACTTTATATTGTTCACTTTTTTTTTTTTTTTTTTTTACTTTATAAATGTCTCCACTTCTTAAAAATGTAGACGTTTAAAATAATTTTTTGATCCAATACATATATTTCAAATAAATTATATTTTGTTATTACTTCTTTTCTTTTTCTTTTTTATTTTTAAATTAAGATGCTTAATTCTTTCATCTAAAAAAATTAAACTAATCTCTTTTCCTTAAAAATAAAAAATATTGTACCAGTATAACTCTATGCATCTTAAATTATATATCAAATATTATGCATTTCCCAACATAAAAGGAGAAAAAAAAAATTAAACAAAGGGGAGAAAAAAAAAAAAACAAAGGCATGCATAAAGTTATATTGGTACCCATTTTCTTTTGTGTTGGGAAATGCATAATATTTGATATGTAATTTAAGATGCATAAAGTTATACTGGTAACATATTTTTTATTTTTAAGGAAAATAGATTGGTTTAATTTTTTTAGATGAAATAATTAAGCATCTTAATTTTAAAAAAAAAAAGAAAAAAAAAGAAGTAATAATAAAATATAATTTATTTGAAATATATGTATTGTATCAAAAAATTATTTTAGAAGTCTACATTTTTAAGAAGTTGGAACATTTATAAAGTAAATAAAAAAAAAAGGTGAACAGTATAAAGTTTTTTTTAATTTTTTATTTTTATGCATAAATTGTTCACGAGGGTAGATTGGTCAAATTTATTAAATTGTAAAGTTAAAAAAGTCTCTTAAACGGTCAAAGGGTAATTTAGTCAATTTCTCATGTAAAGGGGTATCTTTGTTCATTTTTGAACCTTCAGGGGTGTCTTTGTCCAAAAAATAAATAAATTTTCTCTGAGTGTCTTTTTTCCAAACTTTAAGGATGTGACTGTACTTTATCCTAAAGTAAATATACATATAGGATATTTGTTAAAAAAAAAAAAAAGAAAAAAGAAAAAAGAGGTTGACTCGTAAAATTCGTCTGACCAGACCAAAATATTTGGACTAAGTTATAGATATAAACCATTTTAAGTAGAATTCGACTGAACCAACCAAACTCAATTTTGAGTTGAGGTTGAATTGGACGAGCTCAACTTACAATCATAGTGTCTGTAATAACCAATTTTGATATATAGGTTCAATAATAGAAAAGGACGGCCAGATGGATGGTGATGACACTATTAGTAGAATCGGATTATGTCAGACAATATAGGTTCGGAGTTGGGCTTACCCAAAAACAGTAATGGAATACTTTTTTTCAATTGTGCTACATATGGTTCAAGTCCTTTCTGGGACAGTTCTTATATCAATAATAGGGGCCGTATTTATCCGATCGGTAGCCTAATGGGGCCAGACATTCCAATTGTTGTGTCTCTCTGTCAAACCCAGGAGGAAAATCTCTGACCTAATGGGCCCAGAGATTTATGAATGGGTCAATTCTTGTACTGTCGAATTCAAAACCGTTGATCCAGCTGAGACACATCATGGCCGTTTAGTAAAATCATTCGCCCTGACAAGTTTGGCATGTTCAAGACGCCACGCGTATTCTTGATCAGTGAGTTTTCATCTTAACCACATTTAAGATATACTGTAGTATTTTATCATTAAATCTATACCTTAATCTAGATCTAAAGATAAATTAGATCCTCCTTACGGGGAAAAATTAAATAAAATTAATCTTATCCAAAAATAGAAAATAGAAAAAAAAGAAGAAGAAGGTTAAGACATATGCTAGAACAAGTGGGGGAATGATTTTATTTATTTAATTTTTATTTTGTCAAAAAATTACTCACACATTTATTTTATTCCTAAGGAGACTTAATACCTTTTAATTCCATAAACAAGATATTGCCTTTAGAGTAAGGTTTTTAATTTCTAGAATGACCGATGGTGCAAGTGATGAGTTTGCAATCATTCATATTATATTATATTTTTCCTTTCAAAACTTTTGTTCATTTTTTAAAATTAATCTTTAAAAAAGATATGCATTCAATGTTTTGTTTGCCTTCAATATTTCAAAACTATAAGTCTAGTATTTACCACTAATATCGTTGATTAGAAAAAGTTTTCAATAGTTATTTTTTTTTGGGAACAATATAAAAATCTTTTCGCATTGACTTTTTAAATGGAAAGGAATATTTTAACATTTGAAAAATTAAATATAAAGGTCAAATTCATTCAACTGATCCGAAATAAATGCGATGGTGAGCTCATGTATATAAACTCTCTTTATAATAGTTCTTTTTATAATATATAAAACATAGTATTATATTAAAAAATTCCACACCATGAGGTATGTAAGTTATAAAGAAAATAATAAATACAGTACTAATTTTAATAAATGCACTCTTTTTACTGTCTTTTAAATTTAAGAGAAGAAAAAAATTGTCTTTTAAATTTTAATGATAAGCATGACCTTCGTTGTTGCTATTTATGATATAAGAAGAATTCATAATAACATTATCAAAGTAAAATTTAAAAGTCGCTTCGTGAAAAAAAACAATGACAAAATAGGAGTAGTACCTAGGCAAACACAAATCAGTCACTGCAACATAGTTGCGAGACACCAAAAATCAGTATTATCTGAATTTCTCGAAACCCAAGAATCCACGTGTTAGCCAAACAACGGAGGCCCGTTTCGTCGTCGAGTGTGCTGACGTGGCCGAACAGTATCAATATCACAGTGGCTCTCTTCTTCTCCCAATTGATTAAACCGTCTTTACCATTATCATCTACCGTTCTTCTCCGGGGCTCTGAGTCGAGCCAGTCAAAACTCGTTCTGCTCCGATTTGACTCAACAATGGATCCCACTCGAGTTTTTGTCAAGAATGTCAGGCGTGTTGTAATCAAGGTATGTTTCACCGATATTTGTTAATTCCCATCAAAATTTTCTATATCTATGTATGTGTGTGTGAAAATTTATGCTTGCATGTATAGTCCCAATCAAGATTTTTACGTTAATTCGGTATGAACAGATCACATTGTGGAAAGATGACTCTATATGTCACGTATATCTATCTATCTTTACGTGAAAATATATGTATGTATGCGTTTGTGTTTCCGTGCATGCTGTGCATGCAGCATCTGCCATGTTTAAGTCCTAGCCACTGAATCAAGAAATGCATACACATATATGGATGTCTGTATATATCTATGAATTTTATGTGCATGTAATGGTTTGTGTGGCATTTTGAATCTACACCACACAGATGGGGATGACTACACATCTGGATTACAATGGTAGTTATTTCAAATTAGGGTTTGTTTTACCAATGGGCCATTAGCCCAATGGTCTAACCTCTCCTCCCTTGAGGTGATGGGTTCAAGCCCCCCAATGTGGAATTTGTGATTGTGTGTGAGTACTTACCTAACCAAAAATAATAAAAAATTAGGGTTTGTTTAATTTTTTTATCTTTTGCTTTTATGTGACTGGGTGGTGTATGTAGGATCTGATTATTAGACATGTAGACAGTTTGATTGGAGTTCTTAAATTTGAATTAGAACTTTATTATTGCCTAAAATTTGGGTAATTCACAGGTTATGTGGCGGGCTTAATTGATTTTGGGCGAGCTGATATTACTAAAATTCATATTAACCTTTTTGATGATTTATACACTTTCTTTAGGCGAGCATCAATTTTTATTTTTTATTTTTCTCAAAATTGATATTTATTTGTATGTTGAAGAGTTTAAACCAGTTCTAAAGTTGATTCAGTATAAGAATTAAGAATCAATTCATTAGCATAATGTTTGCTTGGACATTGGGTTTCCATCTGCCAATATGCACTCTCACTAATCTTATGCTAAATTTGGACAATGAGTTCGATCAAATACCTATAATTTTATTTGTTTGGCTGAATCTTTATGTGAGTACTTTTTTTAGTATTGCTGGCTTTATCTACTTAATCATTTCTCTATCCCATTAATGGAACATCTTTCTTTCCGTTAATCAAAGTTTATATCTGGATAATTAATAAAGGTAGGAACAAACGTGGTCATGAAGAATGATGGAAGATTGGCAGTTGGCAGAGTTGGTGCATTTCTTGAGGAGGTATGTTGAGCTTGCCATGAACACTTATCCAGAACCAGATGATCATTTTCTTAAAGGACGTTGTTACAATTTGCTCTGTTCATGAAATGGGCTTTTGATCCTTGAAAACTACATATGGGTTCAATGCATTACTGAAATCTTGGAACAAGTCCTTTTCTTTTGTTGTCTAGACTATTGTTTTAGGAGTTACTACAGGCATGCCAGCCATGTCCTGCGCACGTTCTGTTCTTATTGATCTAATGTGTCCCATTTGGCATATCTTATGGTAACTGGTATTCTGAACTGAATGATCTCCTTACAGATTAAAGAAATGAACTCTGAAGGCTTTGAAATCATTTTAGTAACTTCGGGTGCTGTTGGAGCTGGCCGCCAAAGGCTTAAATATAGGAGATTGATCAACAGCAGGTTCTTATGGTTTTCTCTTTTTTTCTGGTCATATATTATTAGTTTTGGTTTGTAAAATGAATTAGTTAATGTAAATCTTTAATTTTCTTATATCTTTGGAAAATAGTAAAAGTTACTATTGAATGTGTATCCACCCGAAATTTGAGTTAGTAATGCAATACTGTATGTTTTTTAAGTGTTATTACCCTGTTTGTGGATGGAGTGAATGTCAAGCAGTTTTGGCAATAGGTGAAACAAACACCTTTTCTTTTTATCTATTATTAAATACAATTGGTTTGTGCTTTTTTATGAAGTTAACAATTATAGATAGTGAGTTCTTTTTAATTACTCAAATCCTATCACAAAGCAAAAGCTTTGTTTAATTGTTCATATTTGTTACAGAAAACGGTTACGTTCTCAGGAAAGTTGTCTTGAGAATATCCCCTCTGCTAGAGCAACATATTCTGGTCCTTCTATAAGAATTCTGTTGCCAAGGAAATGGAAAATTTCTTTACTGAAATTCAATAGAACAAATATTGATTCTCACACAAATCAACTAGCGTTTTAGTTGCTAAAGCCATTGTCTCATGGCAGTGAAAATGCAGGCATGTTATTTGAAAAGACTGACCTGGTTAGGGGTCCGAATGTGATTTTTTATGGCGTTGCGAGAAAGAGACAGAAGATTGTACTCTCAACCTGGAAAAATCCTACATTGCACCAGGGGTCTTGAATTCACAAGGCATGACGGAGAGAAAACTCTTAAAGTTTTATTAAGGTCGAACAGTTGCTACAAGGTTTTTGATCTTTGCCAATTTATAGTGTCTAAATTACTTAAACCCAAGTAACTACCTTCTGATGATCATCTTAATCAAAATTAGTATTCTACTGACTCAAGTGGGAGAGCCGTGTTGTGGGTGACCTTATTGCACGGTTCAGAGAGCACTTGTGTATGTGATGCAAGTGACCATTTATGAAAATGCTTCCACTCAGATTGAGTGTTGAAAGTACAAAAACTACTAAAAATAGCTTATATTCCTAAAAAAGAGAATTACACAAGTCAAATACAGATACAACAAATAAATAAAATTAAGCTATACTTAGTGAGTTGGTCAATGCTATGGTACTAACTGGGATTTTATAAGTCATTTTCTCTCACTCATATAACTATCTGGTTTAGTTCACCATCCTGATTGATAAATAAAAGATGAAATATTTATTCATTTCATTAATTTCTTTACTCTGAAGTTGATAAATACGAACTTTTTCTTCCTTCTTCATTCAAATAAATGTCAACCAAGTAACAACCAATAATAAGAATGGACCGTTGACCTCCAAAAAAATCAACATCAACATTGGAATTCAACAATTCATTTGTAACAACTTATAGTATTTTCTTCTCATGATCATCTTGAACTTGATCTTGTACCATTCCATTAATATCAACATCAACACCAGATTTGATTTTGGCTCAACACTTGTGAAATCTGTATACACGCCTTCATTCACCTGTTCTGCTGTTCACAAAGATCACAGTCACCGGTAAAATTATGTGTAGGTCTATACTTTCTTCCATAATTTGTAGATAATTCCTTGGTAAGAATCTACCCATAATTGTTGGCCTTAACTCAACATGATTTTTACCTTATAATGTGTGCCACCAAATGAATATTGCCTCTCTGAGTTGGATCCCTGCCTACTCAAGGTCTTTCGCTCTCTGGAACTCTTATTTGTAGTTCAAAGTTTCTCTTCATCTGAAGATTTGTTCAAGTAATGGGTTACTTACCGCAGTCACGGTTGAGAAATTTGCTACTGTTTCCATCATTTGCCATCACAGCAGATACAACAAGACTTCTTGATATCAATTGACTTAGCAGAAGCGATATAAAGAGAAAACATGTTTTCTCTCTTACTTCCTTTGAGAAGGCCTCGGTTATAGATTCAAAAGTGACGACTGCTGTTGATAAAGAGGAGACTTCTCTAGCTCCTTGTCTCTCTTCTAAGGATTTCATTGAAGATACAATTCAGAAGTGAAGGTGTTCAGGGAGATTATTCCTAGCCTTTTGGGGTGTGAGAGTTCCCTTTTTTGTTATTAGGTGTTATCTCTCCAGCTTTGAAGTTTGTTTTAGCTAAGATTGTATTTTGAACCTTATTGTTTAGCCTTTCTTTTTTTGTTAATAAATTTTTACTTAGTTACCATAAAAGAAAAGGAAATAAAAAAGAAAGAACACTTAATTTCTTTAGAAGCCCTTGAATTACTAGGCTAGTAGAAGAGGAAGAGGAAACTCATAGTATTATTGATGTAAAATGAAAACAACTAATTTCATTTTTCTATATATTGCTTGTATAGGCACATAAAAATTTGCAAAACGAATAATTGCCTACTGAAAATCTTCATCATCATCCTTGCCTTAATCCCACATGAATGGGGTTGGCCAAAACAAAATCAACTTGAGGGCCCTACCGGGTTCGAACCAGTGACCTCTTGATCTGCAGTCAAATGCTCTACCACTGAGCTAAGGACCCGCTTATATTCTGAAAATCACTCTAGTTAATTTAGTATCCTAGGAGGGTTCAGATTCTATTATCAAAAGCCTACAAATTATCATAAATAAGAAAATATTCTAAATATCCTAAAAGTTGAAAAACTACAAAAACAAATAAAAATCACCAAATAATACCAAAAATTTTGCGAGAGTTTAGGCTTGCACCACCATGCTACCCCATCCAAGCTCCGTCAATTGATAATAGAATTTGAACATGAAAATTTGCAAAACAAATAATTGCCTACTGAAAATCTTCATCATCATCCTTGCCTTAATCCCACATGAATGGGGTTGGCCAAAACAAAATCAACTTGAGGGCCCTACCGGGTTCGGACCGGTGACCTCTTGATCTGCAGTCAAATGCTCTACCACTGAGCTAAAGACCCGCTTATATTCTGAAAATTACTCTAGCTAATTTAGTATCCTAGGAGGGTTCAAATTCTATTATCAAAAGCCTAGAAATTACCATAAATAAGAAAATATTCTAATTATCCTAAAAATTGAAAAACTACAAAAACAAATAAAAATCACCAAATAATACCAAAAATTTTGCTAGAGTTTAGGCTTGCACCACCATGCTACCCCATCCAAGCACCCTCAATTGAGGGGGACCTTATTCCTTGTTGACCTGCATCATTCTGTCCACAAGGGAAGAAGTATTCAATTTTCTTATTTCTATGTAGTGCTAAAAGGTCAAAAATAAAAATATATGTCATTTCCATATGCTTCTAGAGCAAGTTAAGTGTTGTACTACCACAATTCAACAGAACCTGTAGAAAGGTAAAATATTTATCTTCATTTACTTTCAATTGGCAGAAAGTGAGAAGGTTCAAGATCCAAAGTAAAATTCGTCTATAGAAATCAAAGTGCACAATTAAACTTATATGGTGTTTGAATAAGACTGTGTACTGATTAGGGATCTGTAGCAGGGTGTCCTCACCCACTAATTGCAACTAAAAACAGAAATAAATGATGGCGGAGTGTGTTATTTATTTATTTATTCTTGCCCCATAGGAAATTTGACTTCTTCAACTAGAATATCCCATCTCTGTGGTCTAGCTTATACTAATGATGATCTAAACAACGATCAAGGTAATGGTCATATTAATTTATGGCATCTCCATTAGGACTAATGGAAATAAGCAAATTTTTTTGTTTCTTGTTAATTTGTTCTGAACATGTTTGGAGAAATGGATAATATTGTTGTATGCATTGTCGCTGCTTGTAACATTTCTTTTACTAGAGGGTTAAAATAAAAAATTTTGAGCAGGAGATTGGATTGCCTGAAGAAAATTCACACTCTCTTGCAGTTTTTCTGATCTCCAAAAACCACAAGTTGAACTTGACGGAAAGGCTTGTCCAGCTGTCGGACAGAACGGTGTCATGGCACTTTATGACCATTTGTTCAGCCAGGTGAAAGTATACTCTATTCATCATCCATTTTGGAATGAAATTAGAGCATTTATGTTCTTTGCATTTTGTTAAATTTTAATTCTCATTTTCTCCCCCATAGCACAGCTTGCTGTTTTTGTTTGGTGTCTTGTTTAAGTCACTGTTTATTTTGTGCTTATGTAGCATTATTCTTTATGCAGCTGGATGTGACCTCTTCTCAACTTCTAGTGACGGATGAGGATCTTAAAGATCCAGATTTCAGGGTGCAACTGTCTCAAACGGTGGAATCATTGTTAGAATTGAGGAGTATTCCAATTTTCAATGAAAATGATGCAATTAGTATTGGGAGCGATCCATGTGAGGTATGTAACTCCTGTATGCTTACCTCTCCCTCTGCTTTCAGATTGGTTCTATTGTTTCTTTTGTTCCTCTTTATTTTTCCTTTTTTTTTTTTTTCTGTAATTTTGCTTAGTATGTGAGTCAGGGAAGGGGGAATAACTGGATAAGGGAGTGGTTTTATTGATAGAAACATTTAAATATGATTAATTCAATTGCTTCTCACAGCAACTTCCTTAAATCACTTGGAATAAGCTGGTCTGCCTGTTAACTCATACACCGAGTGACCTAACATCGCAGTTTATGAAAATTTACTTTTTTATTGGCATGACCAATCTGAATAACTAAAACTCTGAAAGATCAGGTTGATCTCTTGAAATAGCTCAAACAATCAATGGAATGATTATCCATCCCCCACTCTTAAATATTATTTCTTATTTGTTTATTATTATTTTTTTTTCACATTACATCTCGCCATGGAGACAGGTTATGCAAAAAACAATTTCATTTTACAGTGCTACTCATTTAATATCTACAAGCACCTTCCCAACTCTCCAGAATGACCAGACATACTACATCGTCCCTATCTACTATGAATAGTTGTACAGTCATGATTACAGTGGCAATGCTGGGATAGACCAGACTGATATCCAGAGAATGACAATTTTATGCCAGTTGACGGCCTTCAGAGTTTTGGGCTTGATAGTTTTGGCCCAGTATTACCTGCCATGGGACAACATTTATCTAGTATTTACTTTTACCAAATAGTTACTTTAAGTTGCAAAATCATATGCAGAAAATTTAAGTACTCAAAAAACGTAGAAAGTCATAAGGGCACATACATGTATGTATGGAATGCTTTAGTATCCATTACATAGTTGGGTATGTTTATGCACCAATATGCTTTAATACATAATTATTATTTACATGTATGTGTGTGCGTGATAAAGGAATTACTAGATTTTTACGTATATTATGTAACCGGACTACCATGCTGTCTAGAGGCTCGCACCAAATAGCTGGAGAGTTAATACATGCCCACATAGCTGGGCTGTTAAGAATGCCAGCTGGCCGTAACATAGCCACTTCGTAGCACTAGTATCGTCGAAGCATTTGCTGTCTCCGAATTGATTAGTGTAAAGCCAATTGCTTTAACCACTTCTATTACATTTTTGATTTCTCATCAGTGGATTATGTGTTGTATTATTTACTATATATTTATTATTTCTGATTAAGCACTATTTGCAGGATTTCCCTGGTATTTTCTGCGATAATGACAGTTTGGCAGCTCTGCTGGCCATGGAACTAAAAGCTGACCTTCTTGTGCTACTCAGTGATGTAGAGGGCCTTTATAGTTGTCCTCCAGGTGATTCACAATCAAAGCTAATCCATACATACATAAAAGAAAAACATGAAGGAGTGATTACATTTGGAGATGAGTCCAGGATTGGAAGAGGGGGTATGAATAGTAAAGTAAAAGCTGCTGTTAAAGCAGCTTATGCCGGTACCCCTGTTATCATTGCCAGGTATAATTTTACTATGTGATTGTTTTAATATACTACAGCGCCATCACAGCCTTGATGAATGAAGCACATCTTCATGTTTGAGATATAATCATTATAGATCAGGAATGTTGATTAAACAATCATAGGGATAATTCATTGGCACTGATTCAACTACTTGGATCAGCGTATGAATGTACCACTGTCATGCTGAGATAATAAGTAAACTGTCTGTATCATGCTGAGATTATAAATAAAAAGTTTGAGAACTTGTAAAAGAAAATATTAAACTGAATGAAAGTAAACAGGAAAATTTACTTCGCCACCTGCCACGATGGACCAAAACCTTTATCCGGCACATTAATTTTTTCAATTAAAGATGCATCATAATTTATTAAATCATTTAGGACAGTGGAACTTTATAATGGTAAGATTTGAATGTGAAACAATGAGAAAAAGTGGAAACATCAAATAAAATTCATTCTGTTTCCTGCTTATGTAATAATGTCCCTGAACATAATGATTACAGAAGAAGAAATAAACATGTTTGGACAGTAGAGAGGCAATTGAATGAAAGCCACATGAATGTAATTAAAATAAACACTCTCTGTAGCATATCTCATTATCCTTGGTGCTTATTCCTGTTCTGTTTTTCATTTTCCTTTCTTTCTTTCTTTCTTCTTCATTTTTTTTTTTTTTTTTTTGAAATTTGCTGCTAAAGTTCCTGGCATTCTGCTTCACCAAAACTCACAAAATGGCAAATATGAAGAAATCAGGAAAAATGAAGGTGAATTTTTCTATGAAGTGGAAACTTAATCAGCAAATAATTTATTTGAATGGAGAAAGTACAACTTGTTAGATCACCAATTGCTCCAAAAGTTTATGTTGTCAAGAAATGAGCCCAACAAGGCAACAACGGATATCAGGCTCTCTAACACCCTCCTTCATGTGCAACCTTGTCTTGTGCGTGGAGAGACTGAACAAAACAAGTGTGAACTTGCACACGAAGAACAGAGAGAGACCGAACAAAAACAAGTGCAACCTTGCACATCAAATACAGAGAAATAGGAAGAGAGAGAGAGAGAGGGAGGGAGGAGGGGGGGGGGGGGGGGGGGGGGGGTTGACATATGCGGAGTTCAACCCAAAACCTCCCATAGCCAAAGCTCTGATACAATTCTAGACTACCAATTGCCCAAAATCGTTTGCTATCAGGGAATGGGCTCAGCAATCTATATCAAGCTCCAACACCCTCCCTCATGGACAACCGGTCTTGCATGTGGTGAGGGAAGCAAACCAAACCAAGATTATAATAAGTGCAAACTTGCACACACAAAGCAGTGATCAAATCCAAATATGGAGACTTGAACACAGACCTCCAAGAACCAAGGATCTGATACGATGTTAGATTACCAATTGTTCCAAAAGCTTAAGAGAATGAGCTCAACAATGTATATCAAGCTCTCTAGCACAGCTTTTCAATTCATTTACCAATTAAGATAGTTGGGGTTAGAGAAGCTGATATTTGAACCATAAACATACACTCTATTAGTTTATTAAAGAAGCTTCACGAAAATTACATGCTGCAAAGAGAAGGGTTTTGCCCTCATGACTGATTTGTATTGTCTGAAATGTGATGCTTCTGCCACTAGCATTATTTTTTATACTTTTACATTTTGTATTTTCTTTTGATCAGGCAATTTTTGGGTCAGGAGAAAGGGAGGTGCTCTTGGATTAGAGTCCAGGCACTTTAACTGTCTGATCTCATTCTAATTTATTATTATATTATCTATTCTTTTAAATCCATCTAATATATAAAGGAATGCATACTTAATACCAAGTTCTCTTAACATGTCAGTTAAGCCAATCCAATTGCAGAACATTTTTGAATTTGATATCGTCCGTCACTACTTAATCCATCAAACCTGATTTGCCTCTTATATCTTTCTCACATACTTTGTCATATTGACAATAAAAATAATATGTGCATAATTATTAATTGTTTTTGTTAGTGGGGAATGTCGCATCCATAGATTCGACACAGTGCAATTATGTCACAACTACAGTTGCGACAAGTCCCCGGTTCTACGTAATTCCGTGATTTTTCAGTAATTATCACATCTTTGTTAAATCAATACTTGAAAACATGTTACATGGACTTGTTTGTTGGCGCCAGATTTATCTAATCCGCAAATCCAAGGGCAAGGGAGTATGGATAAATTTGAATTTTTATTTATATTCTACTTTAATTTTGGAAGCTAAAATGGTATGTACATAAAATATTCATCTCTTGAAACATCATTCATTTTGAAGCAACCATGTAGCAAAAGATTGCAGTAAGAGAGTTTGATGTGCAATCATACAGTAAATTTGAATTATCCAACATGATTTCTGGTGGCACATATCCTGTGCCCACACCGATGCCATATGTGTCCACATGGGTACTTCCCACATTTAGAAGTATACTTGAGACGTAGAATTTTCATCTACATAGGAGACATACTATTTTCTGAGCTATAGATCTTTCCTGGATCAACTCTAAATTTGTTGCTATCTTTTTGGAAGTGGCCTTGCTGTTAACAACATCAAAAAGGTGCTAAGTGGAGAACGTATTGGTACTCTCTTTCACAAGGATGCACATTCATGGATAGCATTTACTGAAGTTGGTGCACGTGAGATGGCAGTTGCAGCACGAGAATGTTCCAAACGACTTCAGGTTAATACCATCCTGTTCTACTTTCCTTGAAGTCGCATGGCTTGGAGTTGCTCATACCAATATCAATTTCTTTTGAGGCAGAATTTATTACTTAATATCTCATTTTCATGTATATCTGTCCATTCATAGCTTTTGGGGGAAAGAGTTAAATTTACGATTGTTGTATATTGCAGGACCTACCTTCAGAAGATAGGAGGAAAATTTTGTTGGACATAGCTGATGCACTCGAGGTAAATGAAAGTTTAATCATTGTTGAGAATGAAGCTGATGTTGCTGCTGCACATGAACATGGATATGAGACGTCACTAATTTCACGTTTGTTGCTGAAGCCTGGGAAGGCAAGTGGTTGTCAATTATGGAACTGTATTGTTAATTTGTGCTACGTAACTAACCAATTTATTGTTAGTTATTTTTTTTTTTCCTTTTCTATCATCATGTTTTTGCTCAGCTCACCTATCTAGTTGCTACTTCAGAATAGTGATTTATATTTTTAATAGCTCATTATATTTTACAGATCTCCACTCTAGCAAAATCTATTCGTAAACTTGCAGACATGGAAGAGCCCATTGGTCGAGTTTTAAAGAGAACCGAGGTCAGGATCTTTACATATAAACGTGTTGTTTTTTCTTGGCAAGGCAAAGACATGGTTTTGGATGACCATTTTTAAATATCTTACATAGATTAAGTAGTACAAAACCCATTTCAAGGATCCTGACTTTACTGCAAGTATCTGGTTTTTGCACCAGGAAAAATTACAAAAGTTAAGTAAATCGGCTTTGTTGGATAATTTTATTATCTGCATACTCTTAAGTATCGAATTTTATCATTTGGTGGACTATGATATAGGTAGCATCTTGGTGTCCCTTTTTCTTGTTAATTATTGCTTTAACACATTTATTAATTACTTTTGCATCCAGCTTGCTGATGAACTCATTTTAGAGAAGACATCATATTCTTTGGGTGTTCTACTCGTTGTATGTGAGTCTCGACCTGGTGCAATGGTTCAGGTAAGAAAAATATCTTATTTTATCAAATTCTTCTGTATATTTCACTGGTAAGGATATCTTAATGGCTTTTTTGATATTTGTTTTTTCTTTTTTTTTTTCTTTTTTTTCTAGGATGGTAAGTTGCTTCTGTTTGACTATTCTCTTGGTAGAAAATAGGCATAACCATTCTATTCTGCATCGTGTTTTTGGGGTCAGAAGACTTGCACAGTCACTTCCTACGCTAACTTTTAAAGATTGATATAAAGAGTGGGAAGAGAAGGAAGGTGTCTAGTCTAACCTGCCTTATACTGGTTTCTTGTGTCACCTAGGATGCATTTGAAAATTTGAATTTTTTGTCTTACAACATGATCATACCCATATATGCAACTGCGTGATTTTTATATGTTATGTATCTGAAAGCTATTGCGTTGTATAATTTTATCCAAATGGGATAAAACTTGGAAGAGAACACAAACCCTTAATCTTCAGTTTGTACATCTGAACTTACAAGAAGAATAAGTTCTGCTGCTAGGGTTAGTAATTATCCCAGTAATTGTGAGCTGCGGAAATTTTCCTATTCTTTGTTTGTTGATAAGCTGGGATTAAATGACTGTGACATTGATTAATGATCTTACAGCTGCTGTGCTTAGTTAGCAAAAATCTGTATTATATGCGTATTATACATGCACGGGCGTATATTCAAAACTTTTTTCGTTTTTCCATACAAGTTTTAAAAAGTTCACATTCTCTTTATTCATTTTAGTAATGAATTTTTTTTTTTAACACTCTGTGCAGTTATAAAAACATTTATTATCTGGTATTTAACCTAAACTTTTTGTTTTTCCAGTCAATAAGAAAGTTTTATATATTGTGAGCCATAGCTAGTATCATATAATACTATATATCTAGTTATTTTGTTAAATATTATAATGAACTAGTTTAACTACGTTATTATAATTATTTTGTTATAATTATATATTTGTTTTTTTTCCCTTAAAATTATATATTTGTAAAGGTTGTGGAGCTTGATTACTGATCGGATTACAGCTCTAGAGAAGTCCGACCGGTCGCACTTTTTGCGATGCAAAGTGAAGACCATGGAGTTCTGGAAAAATCCGACCGGTCGCACTTGTCAAAGCGGTGATTTTTGAAGGTCTGAAGAGGTCCGTCCAGTTGCACTTTTTGCGACCTGTCGCACTTTGTTGTTATGTGCGGGATTCAGTTTTCTTTTCTGTTTTGGAATTTTCAAGAGGCCTAGATTTGTGGGGCAAGTTGGTTTCCTTTGAGAGAGGGTTGAGATATCAACCCTAATCAGATCTTAGAGGCATGTGAGAGAATTGTATTGTGCTAGACAAGAGAGAGAGAGAGAGGAAAAATCTCTATTATAATCCTTCATCTTTTTCTTAGTGAAATTATTCGGTGCGCTCAGTGGACGTAGCATAGAGTTTAGGTTAACCACGTATATCTTGTGTTGATTGTGTGTGATTTTTTTTCATTGTGATTACTTGAATGTGTGTTTTACTCCTCGGACATCGTTGTTTTGTTCGGTTCTACCAGAACAATATTTACAATTGATATAAAAAATATAAGAGTTTATTTTTTGTGTATATCTAAACAAATAAATCTACAACTCTAGAATTGTTTTGTAATACTTTTACAACAATAAATTCATTTCATCACTCTTTTAATTGATTTAATATTGGGATATGATTGAAAAATAACATAAAAATAGTAATATTTGTAATAAATATACACACAAATAAATTATGAATGATGCCGCATTTTTTACCATGATTTTTTATTAGTAGTCGTATTATACCAGTGTACATATATATATATGCATATTTTTATGGTTTACATCTTTCTTTTATTTTGCCAATTTTTTAAAGAAAAAATCGTACGTATTGCGTACCAGTTTTTTTTCCTGTTCCTTATTTTACCAACTATGCTGCTGTGAGTCAAGCAATTGGGCTTCAGGTTCATTGCAATATTTGTTATTGTTCTTATTTTATCCCTGTGTTTGTGGTGTTTTCTTAATCAATGGACCGTTAATTCAATATACTGACTTGATAGATAGCTTCATTGGCAATTCGGTGTGGGAATGGCCTGCTGCTGAAAGGAGGGAAAGAAGCTAAACGCTCAAATACTATCTTGCACAAGGTTTGATTTCATGGAGTATGACACTAGTTTCTCAATAATCCTGAAGTTTTTTATTTTTTATTTTTTTATTTGGTCTAATTTCTTAACTTGGGTTCCTTATCTCCATGCAAATTTCGTTTAAATTAGGTAATTACTGAGGCGATTCCAGATATTGTTGGCAAAAATCTTATTGGGCTTGTGACTTCAAGAGATGAAATCCCTGATTTGCTCAAGGTGGGAACCAAAGTTGGATACTGTTGTTGGTGGTTCTTCATAGGTTACTGGTTTTTAACTGATTTTATTCTGCTCCAGCTTGATGATGTGATAGATCTTGTGATCCCTAGAGGCAACAATGAACTTGTTTCCCAAGTAAGGAATTTGACAAGAATTCCTGTTCTTGGTCATGCAGGTGATAAAATTTGTACAACCCTTAAATATAACTTCTTATATATGCAAGCATGTTCTCTATGAAAAATAGCAAAAAGCTAGAGCTTCTAGTAAAGTTGCAATTTTTTCTGTCCAGTTGGAATTTGCCATGTTTTTGTTGATAAGTCAGCTAACATTCAAATGGCTAAGCAAATTATCCTGGATGCAAAGACAGATTATCCTGCAGCATGTAATGCTATGGTAATTTCAGTTTATACAAATTGTAATTGAGTATCTTATGTCTATAAAATACACAACTGAAGCTCTTGTTTTTACAGAATTGCTTTTTATTTATTGTTTATGCATGTTTTCTTTATACGGTAAGTATAATTTTATAGATGAAGAATTTTACAAACAAGGCTAGAATTTTTTGCATAAACAATAATTGTTTATGCATGTTCTACTACTTATCTGCAATGGTCTTTTATCACATACTTAGTCTCTCTTAGCATCCTTGACCTTGTTTTTGCCAGGAAACACTTCTTGTGCACCAGGATTTATCAACTAATGGTGGGCTCCAGGTGCTTGTTGAAGAACTTCAACATGAAGGTGTGACTTAAGGCATAAAGTAGTATCCCTTTAGCAGCATATTCAAACTTCTTATTCGTATCTGGTTACTGCCCTTTCGCAGCATTTAAAACATCTTTTGATCAAATAGTTTTTTATTCCAATTTTTCAAATTATGTAAGCAGTATCAGAAAACCAGCTTTTTATAGTTAACCCAAATGGATAGGCTAAAGCTTTGGTAATTAGTTGAGCTGAGTAGTAGTTTTGAAGTAATGCAAAGCAATGAAATTCAACATCAAGTGCCTTTTTGTTATATAGCTTAAAATATTAAAGAGAGGTAATTCTAGCCTGTAACGGACTAAAATGTCTTCTATCATTGAGCAACATATTGTAATTGCCATTAGAATCATTATATTAAGATAAAAGTAGATTGTTCAACAGAAAAAAAAAAAAAAAAAAACAATGTTTTGAATTGAAGTGACTAGAGAGCTGAAAGAAAGGGAGGTTCTTGTTTGACAGGAGGTATCACAAGAGCATTGTTCTTAATCAAATAAAAATAGGTAATTGACGTAGATGAGGAGTGCTTCTAGCAGTCACTATAAAGCTTGGAGTTGCATCTTCTTTTCAGTTTGGTTCATTCAATGCAAGGGCACATGGTCAAATTTCCATTCGCTTGCATGCATGATTGCTTAAGGGTGTTGCATTCTGCAAGAGTGATGAACATATTTTTTTGGTGTACCCTCAATAGTATTGGCAAAAGCAAACCATTGAAGGGATTAGAGTGGCAGCTTCACCATCATAAGTTAAATCTGTTGCAGGTGTTACTCTATATGGCGGACCAAGAGCGAGTTCTTTATTAAACATCGCAGAGGCGCATTCACTTCATCATGAGTACAATTCAAGGGCATGCACAATTGAAATTGTCAGCGATGTATATGCTGCCATTGATCATATTGATAAGCATGGAAGGCAAGTTGGCATCCTTTAATCGTCTTTCTTTTGTAAATAATTTTTTCAAAATGATTAATATCATATTTTTTACTTTTCCTTTTCAGTTCCCATACTGATTGCATTGTTACAGAAGACAGTGAAGTAGCTGAACATTTCCTGCACCAAGTTGACAGGTAAGCTTATTCTGGCATGCAGATCTTATGGTATGAAACATAATAGTATTTTTTAAAAAAATCTATAATCTATCTTCTGGTTTTCTTTTCTTTTGGGCTATTTACTACAATCAAGTGCTTTTATCAGATATTTTAGTTCATTTAAATGTTAAGTAACAGATATGTTACAACTCCTCCCAAATTTTGTATATTTTATAATTGTGCAATATACCTTGGCAGTGCTGCAGTTTTTCAAAATGCAAGTACACGATTTTGTGATGGAGTTCGTTTTGGGCTTGGGGCAGAGGTATGGAACCTTTCTTAATAGTTCTGATGTTTGATATAGTATGCACAATTAATTTCATTCTCTCATTTGTTGTTGATTTTATGTGCTGACTGAAAGGCCGGGATAAGTACGAGCAGGATTCATGCTCGAGGTCCAGTAGGACTTGAGGGACTGTTAACAACACGATGGTATGTCAATCATGTTTGATTTTTATTTCATGTTTTTGTGAAACCTTGAAATGACTGACATGCTTATTATGATTACTAGATAACTTTTTGATAAGTTATTATGATTACTAGGTAACTTAAAAAAGATTTTGGTCCCTCTTGAGTTTATAACCCGTGAGAGGACAAGAGGGGAGTTTTGTAGGAAATTTTCTGAGGCAGTTGTGATATGGTACGATATCAAGTACATGTGGAAAATTTAGCTGAATTGTGAATATACTACTGGTAATTTTTTGGGGCAATAATAGCACATGAAAGGCATTTTAGCAGTTCAACTGCACTTGCAGAAAGTGTGTTATTCTAGCATTACAATGGTGAATTCTTATAAGGGATCATAAACTTATTTCTAATTCATTTAATCAATATACATGAACATCACATGTATAAGCTATTGTTTATCATCAGAGTCTTCTCCTGACTATTCATCTTGCTCTAAAATCTTAAATAGTGCTCTTGTACATTTTCATGAGCAACACGGGTTGTTGCAACATGTTCTGATTACATACGTTATTATCTTGGTTAGTCCTGTATTTAATTTAGCTTTTGTCTTGAGCTTAGAACTCCTTTCTTTTAATAGGCTATCAATATCGTGTTATATGTGTTAATAATTATGTTAGAAGCTGATTATTACAAGTTCTTGGTTTCTTGCTAACTGATGCACTACGAGAAAACACCTTTTGAGTTCTTTGCTCTTTTATATCCTTGATAAAATCTAACTGAAAATTGTATTTGCCTTCTCATTGTAATTATGACTATTTGAAAAATTGCTGATGGCAACCTGATAGAAAAATTAAAATAATTACAGACTGTGTTATGGGACAAACATGTTCTAATGAGAATAATATATAAACTGGAAACAAATTCAACATTGTAATGTCAAGGATAATGTTGTCTGACCAAGAAATATGCTATCAGGTGATTTGGAATAAGATGCTAAGATGAACAAGTCAAAAACTAACAAAAAAAAGACAGATTTGACATCTGAATATATAAACTGGATTGATGCTACTCATGAATTTATAATGAATGATTGAGCTGTAATAAAAATAGTTTGTGAATGTACAGAGAAGAATAATGGTAACTTACTACTAAAAGAGCAGACCAAGTGCATCATGAGATTATAATTAAATGTTGAGGAGCTCCAAATCGTTGTTTCCTATTATCTGATATTTTCATGAAGTGCTTTGAGTTCTGCATTGCCCAAATTTCATCCAAGATATGAAGCTCAAATTTAATTAATTTATTGCTAATGTTTCTGTATTGAACTTCAAGAATATTAATTCTCTTGTAGAGTGACAACAGTTTGAATAAATTGGTGTAAGAATAATGGATATGCAGTGCCTACTCACTTGTTGCATGGTGTCGTGGTCATGATTTTAGCAGCTCAACACCCACCTTCTTGCTAGAATTATAATTTTATTGATCAACAAGCATCTTTAAGTTCTCTTTCCAGTTTATTAAATTGCATATTAACCTTTTGCATAGTACCAAATACCATAGGTTGCATCGGACATAAATCAGGCATCAATCCTTGGATATGCATTATAGTGCAGCAGCAGTATTTTTCTTGGATCATTTTTGTCTCTGTTATGTTTGACCATTGCAGTTGCTTCTGTGTGTTTTTTTTTTTTTTTTAATTTATGAATTTAGGGTTCTACGAGGTTCTGGGCAAGTGGTGAACGGCGATAAAGGGGTCATTTACACTCACAAGAACCTCAGCCTCGAGTGACAATAATGTAGAAAGAGAGCACATTAAGGACAGCCCTTCCTATCAATTTTTGTATTACCTTTTTGAGGCTTATAATCTTGTTTGTAACAGATATTAGTGAACATAAATTTCTTTTGACTTCCTTTGCATTTAATGTTTATCTTATTTTATCTCTATTGCAAACTCCTTGCCATTTATTGTCTACCTGGATAGTGCTTTAACGTTGCTTTCCTTTTATTTGAATATATGTGTTGGGTCAGCCTAGCCAAAAGGGGAAAATAAGGGTGAATTCGTTAAAATTTTCTACTTTGAAATCTCATTCGAATATAATATGTTTTTAGTATAAAAGACTTCAATTTATAAAATGAGTGAGATATTTCGTTATTGAAGAAAAAAAAAAAAAATACATTCTTGTACTTTTCAACCTAAGACCATCTCCTGTAGTATGTTAAAACATATTTTTGTGTAAAATATTCAGTGTCATGTATAATGTATAATTTTTTTTTTATTTTTAATCTCCAGCAGTTTATAACTTTTTTACACAGTCACATTAATATATTTTATTTCTCCTCTCTCTTTCTCATTTTATTAACAAATCAACCGTAGGTTGTTACTGAGAGATACATTTTATAAAATAATGGCTGTAGTTAAAGATAAATAGTCCAAAATTAGAGTTCAAATTTTTTGTGCAAGTATACACGCCAAAATTAGAGTTCAAATTTTTTGTGCAAGTATACGCGGAGATGCTTTAACATTTTTATTTCTAAAATTGCTTTTAAAATAGTAACTAATCTGTTTGACCACTCTCATTCCACAATAAAAATATTATTAATAATAATTACGTCCTGTTCCTCCCTCTTTCAGGATTGCACCAATATAGAAATAATTTTTAGAGTGAAAATTTGATATGTTTGATATGTTCGTACCGGGTGACTAATTTAAACCGTGCTCTGTAGTATATAAAAATCCAAATTTTACTGATCACATGTTAGAATCAGGGTGTTATTATTATTATTTTTTCATAGGGGAATCAGGGTGTTATTATTAATTATTAAATTGTGAAAATGATTAAATTTAGAAATCAAAATGTTAGATTGAAAATATCCTTTTCAATCAAAATGATTTAATTTATATTTGTATGATATCTCAAATATAAATATCCTTCTTTTTTTCTTTTTTTCAAGTTACTCAGTCCTAATTTACCAGAAAATAATAAAGAAGATTGGTGACATGGCCAAATTTCTTGCAATCAAAGACCTTGCTAAATAGAATGGAGTATTTGGTTGCTAGAGCTCCATTTCCGAAAATTTTGGTTAAGTATTTACACTTTAATTCTCTTTTAAGGATGGAAATATTATATCATTGGACTAGAAATCTGTTCGACTCAAGTTAAAATATTGGACTAACATATGATTATTTTTGAAGTTTTTCATGGTCTTGGGAAAGTCAGCTGTAATATTGAAAGTCAACTGTAATATTGAAAATTCTCTCTAAATCAAGTGTTGGGTATTAAATTATTGATAATGAGATCAATCCGCTTTCCCCTAATTATTCTACCCAAATATGCCACACACTGCGAATCCCTGTTGGGTATATTTAAATTTGCCCACTCTACGTTTCAAAGAAAGTATGGCAATAAAAGGGGAAAAAAAAAGTCACTCTCTTGTTTGGTTGACGAAGAAATAAGAGTACAAATGACTTAACAAAAAAAAAATATATATATATATATATATATATTCTCAAAAAAGGCACACATGTGTGACAACATTCTCTTAAAGAGGCAAAACTTTGATGGTGGAGAATCTTCTAAGTTTGTTATTAGATCAAAGTGAATGGAGTAGGAAGCAGCTTTATCATCTCAAATTTCACCATCCCACAGCTCCTCAAGACTTTTGTAGGGGCTACGGCTTTCATGAATTGCACAGTTTCCTCGAAGGAGCCTTTGCTGCATCACACATCAGAAAGATATGTATTCTTAGTAGGCAAATATGACAGCATATATACATACACACGCACCTATATATGTGTTTTGTGTATATATGGATGCATGCAGCTGAGTGCGTATTTGTGTAGATGATGAGGCAGGCATACATATTTACCTGGTGGATAGCAGAGAATTTTGAGAAGAGGTCTGGAGGGATGCACCAGTCAAATAAATTTAAATTTTCCTTGATCCTAGACTCATTCACACTCTTTGGGAGGACACTGTGACCACTTTGAATGCCCCATCTCAGAGCTACTTGTGCTGGTGACTTGCTCAGCTTCTCAGCAATCTCAATCAATATTGGTTCCTTCAAGATTTCACCTTTCACCCAAGTCCCTGGAGATCCCAGAGGAGAATATGCCTGCACACACACACATATATATATATAATATATATATTCATTTTGTTTACACATTGAAGCCCCCAGTCTTTACTCTACAGCTAGCTAGAGATCAAAATGTTCAGGGAATGAGAAATTACTGATAGATGAACGCTGGTGGATTGGCACAAGTTGTGAAGGGCAGGTTGTTGCCAGACAGGGTGGCATTCCACCTGATTGACTGCCGGAGGAACTTTCGCATAGGTTAGGAGGTCCTGCAGCTTCTTTGTTGAGAAGTTGCTTACCCCGATTGCACGTGCCTGACCAGATGCATACAAGCCCTCCATTGCAGCCCATGTTTCTGGCAGGCACGGGGGAGCAAAGACATCGGGGTTCCACCCAGTCGAGCCCGGTTTTGTTCGAAATGGCCAATGTATCTGTAACACAATCTCTCATTTCAAATACTTCACGCAGCATTTGCATTTGCAGCTTATATACATAACAATAAAAAATTCAACATCTTGTTTGCTCTCTGCATAGTAATTGTCTAAAGCAAGTATTCAAGTTGATATTCTGAAATAGATGGTCAGGTCTATGGCCATCTACATTGTTGTCACGGGGGTTGACTTCGAATACTACAGCACTCCTGAGCCTCCTCAGGCTGTCATGGGGCTGCTAACCTCTTTTCGGCAAAACACCCAATATTTACGAAAATGTCATTGGGCAAACAATTGTCCACTACCAATCTAATACCTTTTTGTTGCATCTACCCTATAATAGAAGTGTGTCATATTATGATTTATTAAGCTTCTTGCAACTAGAAATATGATCTTTATTGTGTGTTGTATAGGTTTTAATACGAGGCTACGCGGAGTCTATTTGCAGACATACTGTAGAGTCTTGGTTCTTATGAATATATGAAAGTGAAGAAATATACCAGATAGAGATCAACATAGTCAAGTTGCAGGTCCTCTAAACTCTTGCTCAATGCTTTTGAGACATCCTCAGGCAAATGGTCACTGCACCTGTAAATGTATAACCTAATGGTTAGAAGTTATAAGAGTAGCAGCATAAACTTTTGCAGAAATTAAGCTTGCCTTTGACCAGAAATGGGTCGGTTCCTAGTAAGCTAAGATTTAATCAAATTAATGAACGAACATTAGATTCCGTCATTCAGAATTAAGTACAAGAACAAAATCTTAAAATCATTCTGTGTAAAAAGGTTAAGAACATTAACGAGATATAATTTAAACATACCACAGTTTAGATGTGATCCAAATCTCGCTACGCTTCACTACCCCAGTGGAAAATAGTTCCTTCAGAGCCTCTCCTACCTGCGAAATTTCAAAACAATGTGAAAAATAACTATATGTATTAACAATTACGAGGCATTATGAGTGTGAAAAGGATGCATCTACACATTCAAATCAAGGAAATCTATTGAGATAAATGGTGTTTGGTTACAGTTTAACCTTTTCAAATGGTGTACTTTCTACAATTATTTGATTGTTTATACTTACATCCCCTTTAACAACTTAAAATTTTGGTGTAATTTTATATGTCGATGAAAAAATGCCCCAAACTAAAGAATTTGAACAACAGAGAGAGTATACCTCTTTTTCATTATCATATACTCGAGCACAATCAATATGTCTGTAACCAGCCTGCACAAGTTGAAACTTGAGTGACCAAATTGTCAAAAAAAACAGAGAATTTCTATGATTCTAATAGTTGCACTGAATCCTAAGGGATAGCCTGACAAAAATTATCAGCTCACATCGTGGAGGTCGGGAGTTCAAATCCCTTGGGGCCATTCTTAAAGAATTTTTTAGGGAATTGGCATGTGGGACGGGGACAGTATGTGTCCGATGGTGGATTATGGAATTCTCTAAGAGGTCCGACACCAGCATTATATATATATATATAGTTGCACTGATTTGATTTTAGTTACACATTGACACAAATGACACATCATTTAGACAAAAAAGATCTTATAGTGACAAATCTTGTTCAATGTTTTTACGACACAAATTATGATTTATAATAGCATAGAGATGAGTAATATTTGGAACATATTTTCGAAATCACCATAGAATCAACAAGCATCACATTATCTTATTTTTTTTAGTTGGAGACCTAGGTTAGTGGAAATATGTGCCTGTGTGTATATATATAGAGAGAGAGACAGAGAGAGAAAGGGAAGCAAGATTTAAATGGAAGATTGGAACCTTGACGGCGGCAATGACAGCGGCACCGACCTCACCGGCAGGAGCTCTCCACGTTCCTAGGCCAACAGAAGGCATTTTGGCTCCGGTATTGAGTTCAAAATGTAGAGGTCCATGCTTGCTTGCTTCTTCCATAGTCATCTACACGACCAAAATCTAATCAGATACCATTGCTGTTAATTTAGGGCTAATCAATACGAATAACCTATTCTCTGCTTATCTATGTTAATATCACACAAAGAGAGAGGTTTTTACCTATTAGAACCAATTCCACCAATCACGATTTAATAGCATGAGAACCCGCTACTTGTGACCGTTTTATGTCCAAATGTTGGGACTTTGGGAGTTTTTCATCCTTGACCTCTCTCTCTCCCTCCCTCTAAATATACACACACACAGATACTATGTCTTACTCTCGCGACTTGTGCCAAGGAATTTGGATCTTAAAATGGCTTTGTTAGAAAACAACAGAATTGGCAGCTTATATTAATTGTTGTGTCTTGAAAGGTCCTAATTTAAAGTTCAATTTAAGGTAATGGACTATATCAATCACAAAGTACAAAATCACATGGTTACTATGGTCTCTCTGTCTTGACCAACAATTGTACCCTTAAATTCAAGTCAATCAATTGTTCATCAACTCATCATAAGATGGTTACAATGTTTTGATCATACGATGGTTCGTGCAAGGTGATCCAAAATGTCAGTCCAATCATAGGTTGTGATGTCTATGTATTTATTGTGTGTGTGTGTGTAGTGTAATAAAAGAAAAATAATTTAATAGTGGGGCTCACAAGGCACTTTAGAAAAGGGTCAAGACCATAAAGTTGGTCTCATTTTCCTGATTCCCTTTCTCTCTCTTGGTGCATCTCTCTCTCAACCCATAAGCTCATTTTTCTCTTATTTTTTTTGGTTTCAACTTTGAGATTAGATTTCTCACTCATTTCTTGTTGGAATTAGGTTCCGTTTGAGGCAAAACAAAGCTCGTGTCAAGCTCTATACATCCATACCATCAATTTCCAGTTTCGAGTCTTCTTTGGAGCTCGAATTTGAGGACTCATTTTCTAGGGTTTTGGTGCAATTTTGAGGTAGGGGCCCTTAATTCATGAAATCTTGTACCTTAGTGAGTTAATTGCCTCTAATTGTTGTTTAATTTGATTAGTTGTTTAAAATCTAGAGAATTGTTGATCTGTATGCATATATGTTAGTTGTGTGACTATATTTGTTGATTGTTCTATGTGAAGCATGTTTAGGACTTGATTATATATGTTTATTGTGCTAGAACTTGTTATGTATAAGCATGTTATGACTTTCTTGATTATTCTTGCGAATTATGCCATGTTGCTTAAATTGGATAAAGTATGGAATGATGAACTTGTGTATGTCATTGAGGTATTCATGCATTAACATTGGGCAGGAAAAGGGAAAGAATTGATTTACTTCAAAAGGGGGAAATTTCGGGAAAGTGTTTTTGATGAAATGATTTTATGCGAAACCCGGTCGCTGCGGGGTTACCAACGGGCCGGAGGTTAATATAGCCTAGAGGGGACTAGGGAGTCGCCCTAATGTGATTGAGCTAGCTGGGCCCCATAATGACACTGCGGGGTTACCAAGGGTCAGGGACACTAGCCAATCCTCCTCTCGTGTCGCGGCGGAGTTACCAAAGGGCGGGCTGTATTAACGTTTGAAAGTGATGGTTTTGAGAATGAAAATGGGGAGTGTCATTGATATGCATTGCATTTCATTGCATTGTATTGCATTATTTATAATTGGAATTGAATTGTATGTTGTATTTTATCCCCTACGTTGTATGATCCCTATCTCCCATTGGCCTATGCTTTGTTTGAATTCACAAGGATACAAGATTTGTGTCTTAAGTATCTCTGCTGAGCTATATGCTCACTCCTATATCTATATATATTTTTTTTCAGGTCTTGGAAAAGAACCGGTGGACGACAATCCACCTCAACTTTGAAAGTTGCTAGAGGAGCATTTTCCTTGTTATTTTGTAATAGACTACTCCTTTGTTCATCCCTCATTTTTTGTAAAATTCCAAAGGTGTAATGATGTAAATTTCTTTTGAAGAACCATGATCATGTAATACACTTATGATACTTGATGACATATGGGATGCGAACTTGATGATATGTAACTTGTTGATGAATGGAAGGATAATCCTAGCTTGAAGCATTGTCTAGATTAGTAGGTTGTATCATTATCTTTTGTTGCCGTGAATTCAGAAATTAGTTGCATGATAGGTTAAATATGCATTTAAACAGGTTACGGTAGGTCCATTTTTTTAGGGGAGGTTATGCCGAATTTTTTTTTTTTTAAAAAAAAATTCTTGGCATTAGTTTTAGGATCGTTACATAGGTCATAAAAGGTGAATCACTTCCAAAGTAAATGTGTGAACTAATAATATGGGCATCCTGTAAACTAGAGAGAAGTCATGCTTTGTCCTGATCGCCCAAACATTGAGCCACTATAGGGGACAACTGCAACCATATCAAAACTGGTAAGACCAACAGAGAGCTTATGAACACCACCATTCCAAACTGAAGCTGGGCAATTCTGAAAACAATTCAAATTTACCAAAAAACTAGGAAAATTGTAGGCATGAATAGAATGCAATGTCATAGCAGCAATGCCTCGATAATAGCAACTACTATCCAACCTCATCCATTAGGATCCTGTCTAATCAATGCCGCGATTATCCTTAACACTCGTCATATCTTGTAGTCAAAGCCACAAAAATCTCATCCCTCCAAATGGAGTGTGAACCAAAATATAGGTTACCATTTCTGGTTTACTTCAATAGAAATGGCGCAGTAGTTGAATTTTCTCTTTCAGGGGAAAAGAAGGCAATTACACAATGCTAATCCCGCTTATACCTGGTGTTGGGACAAAAAGATTATCATAGTCCTAACACAATCTACTTTATACAAAGTGGCTCCTCGATAGAATCACAAATATATATATATATATTCTAGATTGAAATAGTTTCTGAATATAGGGTGAAATATAAAAGATTTGCCAACTGGGTTATTACACAATCGAATCAAGGGAAGTTCAAGAAATCGAAGTGGCCAATTTATAAATTGAGCAATCACTACAAGACTGGGAAAAAAATTCAAGTACAAATCTGAAAGCTAGAACTGCTGTGTAATTTGTCCAGTGAAACAGTTGCCAAAGTGAGCATATCTGCCCAATGAAACCAAAGAAACCCCAAATGAAACCTTATTGGACAGTCTCAACTCAACCACTTCATCAGGCTTATGAAGAAAGTGTACACAGATCAGTTAATCTAAAGCAAACCATTCAGATCATGGACAAATTAACCCAAGTTTTCGTTCTGCTCCTCGTGCAAGATTCAAATTGTCGAAATGCCTCAAAATTCTTGAATAGCTACCTAACAAAATCCTTGAATCACCTGTCCAGAAAAAGAGCATTTCAGAAACTTCTAATCAGGAGAAGGAAAAAAAAAAGGGATAGAAGTTTATAATAAAACCTAAAAGGCTGTTAGAAGTAGTCATCCACAAACTTCCTGAGTTTCTTCAGCCACTGCAAGTACTCCTTACTGTTTTTGCTGATCATGTACTCGTACAAAAAGTCGATTGTACTGGTTTTAATTCCCCTGAATTCAAGATATTTTTGGAAAGACTCCTGCAAATTTTCACTCAAATCCCTTGGCAGAAGAGACAGATTTCAGAAAATGAACAAAATGATCACAATGAATGTATATAGAAGATTAATTTGACAGGCTTACCAGAAGTCAGGTCCTTCATTTGCAAGATGACTTTCATAACGTTCTTGCTCCTTGAGGGACAAGCTGTCAATTGAAATCTCATCTGGAAGAGCAGTGATTACAAACTCCAATTGCAATCTACTTCCTTTGGAGACCCTCACAACCAACGGAATGCAAGGTTGAGTCTTACCATCATAATAACCATTATCGTCATCAGAATCCTCTACATTTCCAAAATCAGGCATGTGAACTTCGACTTTGATGATTTCATTTTTGTACACTCTTTTAAGTAGTATGGTACTTTCTCCAGGGTTATCATGGATCATGAAAGGAAATCCGTCTGGGATTTCTTCTGCCTATTTGGGGAAATTTCAGGAGGAAAAGCATAAGTAGCTTAACAAATTATCAACTTGTTTACAAATGTTACGTTGATGTTTCAATGCTGTGACACACTTAATTTTAGACACTTAAATTTGACAATTGGTGAGCTAGACAAACATTGATAAGGCACCATAGGCTATTCATGTACGAAAATCATTTCAAAAAGTGGCCCTTATTTTCCTAAAGAATGTACAGAAATAAAACAGTACAACACCTTTCTATTAAAGAACGTATAACCCAGTTACTGATTTATCATTAAATATCTATTTTCCATCCAATTCATACATGCACTTGAGTCTTGAACATAGATAATTTATAAGTGGTTAATATAGCGAATCCCCCCTGCCAAAAACAAAAGAAGGTACATACACAGACACATCTATAGCCATATCATCATCTTCTAATTTTGATGATGTCATTTTAGGGCTTGAACGCCCCATGTCCATATCCAAACATGACATTCGTTTCCTTGTCCCCAAATACACCCTCAAAGATAGTATCCAAACTGCAACCTAGCTAAGAGAGCTGGTAAAAAATATTCTTCACTCAGATAATATTTAAGACTAGTTCCCCAAACATACATAATTTTTTCCTGAATAACATACAGAATTACTAAACTAAATAAACATAAGATAAGATATTTGCTTCGATAAGGTTTGAGGAATAAAAGGGACTGGGGGACGAAGATAAATTTTGATATTAAAAATCTGAATATACTCTAGTGTTCCTAACGTGAAAAAAATAAAAAAAATAAATCTACTCTAGTCTTTTATGTAACCAGTAGGTCAACTCCTCGAAAAGACAAAAAGGATTGTGATAGAAAATTCGATCTTTCAGAAGTGGAAAGCTCAAGCTGCATGCTGTAAAATAGGAACCAGTAGCTCAATCTACTCTAGTCTTTTATGTAACCAGTAGGTCAACTCCTCGAAAAGAAAAAAAGGATTGTGATAGAAAATTCGATCTTTCAGAAGTGGAAAGCTCAAGCTGCATGCTGTAAAATAGGAACCAAAAACATAAACAAACCTAATTATCTCATAATAAGGTTCTAATGTTGTGTTACACACATGCTAAATAAATTAAGAACTTTCAATGGGGGCGCTAAGTTACCAAAATTGGGAACAAGTTTGAATTTCTGATTGAGATGGTATCCATCATCCATTCCTAAACCATACAACATCCACGGTTTTGAGAAATTTAGCATCCACCTAAGTATTTCACAAAGACCAAAATCTGCACCATGAAGAATAATCCTAGCAATTAAATAGAATTTGGCAGTACAAATCCAAACTCTAATAAGTCAGACCTTAATCAACCACATAACTGCTTTGCATTATACATCATTGCATTGAACTTCAAAGAGGAAGTACACAAAATTCAGGGTGCAGAAAGACAGGGCAGAGTTCCTCAAGAATAGGTTATAATTCATAAGATCTCAAGAGGTAATAAACTACTAAAGAAGCAAAACACCAATGAAGCCATTTCTTTCTTTCATTCCCAAAAAAAAAAAAAAAAAAAAAGGACTGAAAATCCTTTAAGAAATGCATTATCTCTTTGGTTGCTGAGAAATGAAATTGTAACATTATTCAGCTAAGTTGAAGCTTCCATTTCAACTAATATAAGTAAAAATTATGCAAAACCTCCTAAATGCTGGAAATAAAAATAAATTAGGTAAACAATAAAACATAATCCTCATGCAATTAAAATGAAATTACACAAAACCTCCTAAATATTGGAAATAAAAATAAATCAAGTAAATTATAAAACATACTCCTCATGCAAATTTTCATTTCATTTGTCATTTGTCCTCCTTCAGCAACAAATGGAGCCTAAGGCTAAGGTATTATTTGATTTTTTTTTTTTTTTTTTTTCCTCAAGGCAAGAAAATCATTCATTAGATGAAATTAAATATGAATACAATCCATATATGAAATTATTATTTGATAGCTCAATTAATTATTCCACTCAAAATGAAATAAAATTTTAAGTGACCTGTGACCACATTATAACTGAACACTTCCAATTTTATTTTTAAATATATATATTTTTCTTTCTCAATTTAGAATTTGCAGTTATAATTTCACTGGATCCCCTCCCGTTTAGGGGATACAGTAAACTCATCCTCATGCAACACATCTACATCCCAAAATGCAACAACTATGTATCAGTTAAGCAACACATTTATATCGAAGATACAACGAATATTGATAATTTAACATATTTACATAATTATTACTGATTTAAAGTTGTTGCATTAGGCACAGGAAAGACACAAAACGATAGCATCGCAGGAGATGATCTCATTCAATTTCAATACTCAACAGTCAACATTCAGCTCTTAAAATTTTCAAGCTTAATTTTCTGTTCTTTCCCAATATTTTCTTCAGCTTTCTCACCAACCAACCAAAGGAAAAAAATCATACAAATCACTAATAAATAAATAAAGAAAAGAGATGGCTTAGAGAAACTCACGCGATAGTGCTGTTCCACTTCCTCGGCACACTCGATTTCAGAGTCGATGATTCGAATGAGACTCTCATCGAAACTCTGTTCCTTATCGATGGCCGTAGAGAAGTGGAGAGACGGAACAAAGCTTTTCTGGTAGAGCTCGTGACGGAGTTTGCCATTATCTACGCTAAGAGCGGCGCCTCGGACAGTTCTCGCAGATCCAACGGTGCGGATTGCGAGAGGGACTACGCATGAGGATGCTCTGCGAAGCATGTAATACAACGCCATAGTATTTCCGTTTTTGGAAACAAGCTTTGAACCTTTATAAAAACAACAAACCCTCAGAGCAAAATCCAGGGTCTCTTTTAGTTTTAGGCGTCAAAAGGGTTTTACAAGAAAATTACTGGAATATGAAATTTTGTAAGCTCATTTATCTTTCATTATTTGCATTTGGTGTAACTTTGAAGTTTGATTTTATTGTATATATTTCATACACCTCACACCTATTTGTCAATCAAAATCTTCTTTCATCAGGATTCTTTTTATGAGTTACCACGATTCTTTCATGAGTTATTTTCTTTGTATCTCAGTCAGTGAGTTAATTTAAAACTTAAAAGCAAAAATCATAAGGTGTTTCCAATTATACTATAATATAAGTCACAAGTTTCACATAAAGTATGTCCAATTATGTTAAATTAAAAATCGAGTTCTATACCAACTACCTCTTAATTGAGAGATTGAAAAAGGCATATTAAATTATATAAAAAATTTACTTATTATATCAAAACCAACTTCCAATGCGAACATGACAGATTTCTAATCCACTTCATTGTCATTGAGGAATGGATTAAAACCCACCGAGGCAATGAGGATTACACATTAAAAGAAAAATGAGTCAGCATGCTTTGTTTATAAGATTTTCATTTATCTACTTATGAGCGTAGAATAAAGAGTTGAAAACAAGAACCGATCAACAAAAAAAAAAATTTGCAGTGTTGTTGGTGCACATTGTTTACTACTTTTATTGTATGTGTACTACCAAAAAAAATTTGCAGCAGTGTACAATTTGTTGCACAAACAAACGGAAGGAAACGAAGATTGAAGACCAACCAAACCTTTTTCTTTCCCATTCGGTGATTGTTTTCAAACTTTAAGCTACGCAATGACAAAAACAGAAACAGTTGGAAAGTATTCCATCCACTCATTTGAACTTACCCATGGATGCCAAAGGGGGTACATGGCTTGCTCTTAAGTGCCTAAGCATATATGGCGTACCCATAGTTGCCTAAACATTGAACATTCGGTTAAGGATGTTTTACAGGCCGATCGTTTCATTTTCAATCGACCATTATCTTCATCAACAACATAAGATGGCTTTGAAAATAGTCAGCAGATGTACCTGAAGCACAAGCAAGTACGATGATAGATGGACAATCAAAGAGGGGCACTAGGGCATCATGAGCAGGCAAGCGTTAACAGCCTACTTGTGGTCAATGTACTAGGGTCGCAAGCCATTGCAGTGTGTGATGATGGTCAGATGCCGGAATGGGAGCATCGTACATGGCAAGTGTAGCAGTAAATAACGTTGGAAACTGGAAAGAAACCGATTGCAAAGAATCCCCATTATAAATCGCCAACCACCACAAAGATGATGTGCGCTTCTTCACCCATGCCAGACATGACGGCACATTGATAGTGAATAGGCACTGGAACAAACAGTACCTTAGGGAGCATAGAATTGGGGTGAAATGCATTATTCAGGAGCAATGTAATGTATGTCAATGGAAATACCACCTTCCCAAATAAATGGAAAGATTCAGAAGAGATAAACCATATGATAATATGTGATCATGTCCAAATTGCCAAAAGCTCACAGACATCTATTCGCAGGCATGGCATGGTGTGAGAACACAATTTGGTATCAAATACACATAAACAGATCATAAAGTTGAGTAAAATTAGAAGCAAATGGTCCGAATCATTTAATCATTCTGCTAGCAAGATGCTGAAAAAACATAAATGTAACTAGCAACCATCATATTCCCAGAGAATGATATTTCTACTTTAAGTTTCTAATGTAAAGTACGATTCAAAGATTGTTGCCATTGCGGCTAAAACAAAGGGAAGGAAGAACAACTGAAATAGAACCAGTTCAAATAACCAGTGTTTCAATCAAACTTATGGAACCAATCCGGTAATATAAATTTTAGCTGAAGGAGACAGAGAACCCCATGCCTTCCCTTGCCATAATTCATTCACCTGTCTGCTCATAGCTCCCCATCCCAGAGTTCCTCCAATGTCTTGTATTGGCTGAGGGTCTCATGGGCAAATGAACTCCCTCTGAGTAGCCTTGCCTGCATAGTCAGAAACAATAACATTTATTGACACTTGTCAGAAAAGATATCCAGAATTCCTATGCCATCGCTTAATATATACACACACACACACACACACACACACACACATATATATATATAGAGAGAGAGAGAGATGAAGCTACTGGACCTTGGTCAACTAAAAAGATTGTGAACATAGGCCATAAATTATCTTATATCAGTCCCCCCCCCTACAATAGTAGGGTACTTGGGTATTTCTATTAGTAACATTTATAAAATTGCAATTAATCATCTTAATTATTTATAATTCGCAGTGACAAAAGTTTGAGCTGATAAGCGTGAAATCATGGGTTTGAATATGGAAGCAATCACTTTGTACAAAATAATGCTAAAGATAAATGCCGCTCTACAAGCTTCATCTCCCAACACACTTTTTACTTTAAAGTGCTAAAAGAACCATGATTAGAGTGATAAATTAGGTAAAAAAATGAAAGAACAACTTGCCTGTTCAATTTCGGAGAACTTGGTGAACAAATCATCAGGAATAGACCAGTCGAAGACATCAAAGTTCTCCTTGATCCTTTCTTCATGTGTACTCTTAGGAAGTACACCATGGCCCATCTGCAAAGCCCAACGGAGAGCAACCTGTGCAGGAGTCTTGCCCAATTTATCTGCTATCATAATTAGAACCGGATGCTTAAGGACATCACTCTTGAGCCATGTTGTACCGGGAGAACCCAATGGTGAATATCCCTGAAAGAATGAAGATATCAATGTGAAGAATACCACAAAATCATCAAACTTAAAATTTGTAGTTAACTGAATTTAAGAAATTAATTATGTTTTACCCAATCACATATATGAGAACCCCCTAAAAAAATTCAACTTGTAGCTAACACATATATCAAGATAACATTTGATTGTCAACTTACAGATAGGTGAACTCCCTTAGATTTACAGAATTCGCGGAGCTTGGCCTGTTGCCACGAAGGATGACACTCCACTTGGTTGACAGCAGGGGGAACACGTGCTACATCCAACAAATCTCCCAGTTTCTTTGTAGAGAAATTGCTAACACCTATAGCTCGAGCTTTACCAGAATCATAAAGTGCTTCCATCGCTTTCCAGGTACTGGGTATATCCGTTGGAGTAAAGTTTTCAGGATTAAAGCCCACAGAACCCTTCTTCATACGAACTGGCCAATGGATCTTCAAGAATTGAGCAGCACCATTTATTCCCAATAAAGTAAATCCACATAAATAATAAAATAATAATAATAATAATAATAAATTTAAATTTAAAAGAGAAGATACCAACTATTCAATAGATTTGAAGTTCAAAATAGAATTTTAAGCTGGAGGCATGGTTGATATCCAGGTGAATTAATATTTAAGCCAGGGTCATGACCCTTCTCAACATTCAAATATGGCATCGAGGCCAGCATCTAGGAGGTACCTATTGCTCAAATTTACCTTGTTCCTGCAGCCATTAGATTGAACTAGGTCTTGGCACAGATTTAAATCAGTTGGTTTCCAAGTTTTAAATTACATGTTTTTGACTGCTCAACTTTTTAACTAACAAAAGTAAAAATATAAATTTTCATGAGGCAACACATACAAGGTACAAATCAACATAGTCAAGCTGCAAGTCTCGTAAAGTTCTGTCTAATGCCACTGGTACATCTTCTGGCGCATGATCAACACACCTGCCAATCATTCATGTTTTGAGTAGGGAAAACTTCTAAGATTATTTTGCTACACTACAAGTTAGACTCTGTAAACAAGGAATGAGCATACTGGCATAGCAGCCTGTACATCTTAGCATATAGGATATAGATATTCAGCATTTTCCTTAATATTTACATACTATATCAAATTAAAAAAAGCAAAAAAAAAAAAAAAAAAAAAAAAGACAGATCCAAACCAGAGTTTGGAGGTAATCCACAAATCCTCACGCTTCACCACACCATCTTCAAAGAGCTTCTTCAAAACCAAACCGATCTACAAGGCATAAAAACTAAATTGGTGCCGCAAAATCTTTACAACACAATTAAACCTTACTTTCGACAAACTATCTATCTTCCAGTAATAAGGCAAGACGATCATGAAAATCAGATCAGTGATCATCAGTTGCAAATCTGCAAAGTATAGGTTTCAATAATAAAATTAAATAAACTTAAAGAACCTCCTTCTCATTGCCATAAACTTGAGCGCAATCAACATGGCGGTATCCAATCTGCAGTGACAAGAACATGTGATTGGTTTATTATTGACAGTATTAGATGTTTGAGATCAAAATCTCATAATACAAATGTATCACATTACATTAGTAAATACCACAATTACTAATATAGATAACATGGACAATGGAAATGTCAGCAATAAATTCATCCTCAAAACATTCTGCTACATCATGTCTACTTGAGCAAAAATATTTCGACCTTCATTACCAAAGAATAAAGACAATGTCTGATGATAATGTAAACACCAATCAATAGATCACAAAGAAAGAATAGAATAAAATAAGAAATCGTGTACACTCACAACAACCAAAACATGTTTCATTCATGGAAAAGGAAACTGAATTTTTTTTGGGTGAGGTAAGGGGAATGTGAATGCAGTACAAATAGACGAGAATAGCAAATGAAGAATTCTGCCAATATTAACGAAGGATCAAGAACTTGAACTACAGCTTCTCTTAGGTTCAAATATGTAAAGAGTTACTTACTTTAACAAGTCAAAGATTTGAAGTGTTGTTTCAATCACAATGTAAGATTATCTGATATTTCATCTTACCTCCAATAGAAGGAACTTAAAAGATTATTTTCCTTAACCAAAATAATTTAGGCTTCATTTGGTTTTTAAAATTTCATTTTCTTTTTTACTCCCCCTAAGATTGAACATCTTTATATCTTGAGCAGGATTGATGGATGGAACAGAGAGAAACTTCTGGCATGCTGTGTGAAAATGGAATTATGCCAAGCTGGAGAAGAATTTCTTGTGAGATAGCTAGAAGGCCAACACTATCAATAAGGAAGGGGGGAATGGAGAGGATGTTGCCCAAAAAATTAGAGCAGGATAGACGAAATAAAAAATAATTTTGAAGCGTTGTGTGACCATAGAGTTCTGGCCAAAACAAAAGAGTTGTTTCATAACACCATCTATGCTATATGGTACAGCACATTGGGCATCTGTGAATCATGTTCGCTAAAATGAGGATGTAAAAATGGATGAGTACTATTATAAGAAACAATAAAATTAAAATTGAATCCATTTGAGGGAAATTAGAAGTGGAACACATTGAAAATAAAATGAGAAGAGATTATCTTAAGGCGGGTTAGCCACTTAATGAGTAATGAGTGATTTAATCCAAGTAGAAAGTGTCAAAAGAATAATACGAAAAAGAGACCAAAGTGAAGGACATTATCACTTTAGACTAAATCAAGGACGTGAATTCAAAGAGAGGGAGGCAATAAATTTATGTAGCCGATCCTAAGTAAATGGATTCTTACTAATTGAGTTGATAATTTTCGTTTCTATTAATAAATCTTCTCAGCAAGGAAAAGCAAATGTAAATTTGACAATTGAACAAAAAAAACATAAGGAGAAAAAAATAATACAATCAAAGAGAAGTGTATTTTTTCAACTATTTGATTGTCGCATGCTACAATCCATACGCAAAATAAAATGCAACAATTGTACAATGTAATATTAACAATGGCTGTATAAACACGCTATTCTCAAATATCAGAAACAATAAACAGAAGAAATCGATTCTGAAAACCAGTTTTCTCACTTTGGACGAATTAGAGAATTATCAAAATATAACAGTGTTTTAATGATATAAAGACTAACACAATGCATGTATGAATTTTTTTCAAAGAGGGTCAAATGGTAATGATTGGAAGCAATTATAGTACTTCCATTTCTCACTTCGAATGCTTTTGGTAGCAAAAGATATTTGTTTTTTTTTTTTTTTTTTGCCCCAAATTTTTCTAAATTTTCATTGATGCTAACAATCTTCAAAGACAACCTAAATCTCTTATCAACTAAAATCTTCATGTTTGTCGTATCCAAATTTAATCCTCGCAAGCAATTTTCACATCTTTTTTCTCAGTAAAGAAATCCATAAATTTCACAAAATCACAGAAAAATGTGGTGTGTATATATATATATATATAGAGAGAGAGAGAGAGCAAGAAAACCTTGACGGCAGCGGCAACAGCTTGACCGACGAGACCGGGATCGGACTGCCATGTGCCCAGACCTACTGAAGGAATTTTAGCTCCGGTATTTAATTCAAAGAATCGAATGCTTCTCGCCATTTCAAGCTTATTCCACCAGATGATCTCTGTGCTCGGACGAATATATTATAGTAGAGGACAGAGGACGAACCGACGAATATATTTTATAGAGAGAGAAATTAGTGTGGGCTAGTTTGGTTGGAAAGAAATGTGAGATAATTTTTGTTTTTTTTTTTCTTTTTTATTTACAACTTTGGCAAAGAAAAGAAAAACCTAAATAATTTAGAGAAATATTAGGGAAGATTCGTGAGTTTAATTTTATTATATTTAATTAATACTCTGACAAAATCTATTAAGAAGGGTATGACAATAAATTCATCAATATATATATATATATATATATTTTTAAATATGATTATTATAATGTTTTTTTTTAAAATTAAAATATTTAATACTATCCTATTTTCTTTCTTTCTTTTCTTTTGTAAATTATACGTTATTTTTATTTTCCTAATTCAGTGAACCAAACAAAGGGGTTAAGCATAACGGGATAAAAAGAAAAAAATATAAATATAAACAAAAAATAGTGGGGAGATCGGAGAAACTTTTCGTTTCTATTTGTAACTACATCGACCTAAACCACTTACAGACAAATATATATATATATATACACACACACTACTATACTATATACGCACCGAATGCCGATGTTTCTGTAAATATGGATCTTCCATTTATAAACATTCCGGTCGCATTCGTTTTTCTGTCCGATGCACTTTCTTATATTTTATGTGAAACGGCCGGCCTGTGGGACCTGCTGGGTTAATGGAATTTTGAACATTATTTTTTTAAATTAAAATTTGAGATTTTTACAAACAAAGTAATATACCCTAGTTATAAAAAAAATATAGTATATTATTATTTAATTTTTAAGTGAAAAGGATTGAATTGAAATTCACTAGTTATAAAAAATATATATAAAATAAATAAATAATTACAAGCTTTTTTGTTACTTTTCTAGGTTTTGGTCTTCTAGTGAACAAACTCTTCTGTTACGTTTCTAGTTTTGGACATATTAGTGAGTCGCTCTGTGTTTCTCTCCAATGCTTCCATTTATCTCCACTTTTCAAACACACACACACACAAATAAGATTTCCCTCCAATAATATTCCGTATTCGGTATTTACTTTCTATATATCTTCTTGACTATAAAAAATTATGCATAAATCGCATTATCAAGCACCTCATCATAAGAGGATTCTACCAAAATGAAATCATGTCAAAATATTTTAAATTAAAATAATTCAAATTAGTAAAAATTGAAGTTTTAATTTAGTCAAATTTAGTCAAAAGGAAGATAATATAAAACTTGACTAAAAATATAAGAGAAAAGAAAAATAATAAATAAAATATATAATCAACAAAATGCAAGTTTGAATCCTCAAAATTTTATTTTGGAAGGTGAGAAAGTAATACTTTTGTTAACAAATTATCAACCCGTTAACATATGTTATGTTAATGCTTCAATACTGCGAATTACACCTGTTAACGGGTCGGATTCGGATCGGATTTGGCTTGGTCCGATTTGAATCTAAATACAATAAACGTTTAAAAAACTAGTCTTTATACACAGAACGTGATTAAGATGCTTTCTTTTAACAATAATTACTAAATTTTTTTAAATCATAAGACTTAGTGGTCCACTCCGATTCAAGCTTTTCAATTAAAAAAAGTCACCCACAAAAGTGTAATGATATATTACAAGAAAGTCTCAATATTAATTTTGATTGGACAGATCACCAAAAAGCAATGGACAATTGGACATTTAATAATTTCTCGTCCTTTTGGGATTTTATGAGAAATATTAATGAAACATGGCATAATATGGAACTTTAAAGAGAGAAGTAGTTCATGTACAAAATTGCTACTTTCTAATTATAGACTATATAGTAACCTCATGGGATATTCGAGTTGGCAAAGAACCTGAAAATGTTTAAAACTCTCAAAGTAGAATCCTAGAACTTTAGGAGTCCTCTTGTTTTTTTACTCAATTAATCACCCGACTCACTCACTCCCAAATATCATCATATTTCCACCTTCATTATACATTAATTTTTGTTTTAAAAAAGCCTTGTGGGCCAGTCTACCCATAGCCCATAACAAATATGGGATGAGTTCAAGATGGGCCTCTGGATTTGGACAGGCTTGCTCGGGCTTAGACAGTTCGTTGTCATTTTTTCTTTGCAAAAGAACTCACGCATATTTTGCTTCTAGGAGGAGTTGAACAGTTGAATCGATTCGGATGAAGAGATAAATTTAGTAAGGAATGTGTGAGGAAGTGTTATGAATAACATATAGGGAGTATTAATGATAAAATAAGAAAAGTTACGTTTAATGCGACTGGTTAGAAGAATAAGAGTTGTTTGTAAAAAAATTTACATTGCATAAAAGTAATTAAAAATAATTTTATATAATTAAATATAAGAATAAATATATTGTATAAATAAAGAATAGTAAAACAAGAGAATTTATGTGACGCCCCATTCATCTAAAATTAAAATAAAAAATGATGAAGACAATTAAAGAATTGAAAAAAAAAAAAAACAAAGAAGAAAAAGTGATGTCTACATTCCCATTACTATTTAAGTTTTAAGTTTTTTAGTGCTGCTATATCTTGGCCTTTGCTAAATATAGTGACTATCCCTTGACTTTTGCTAAATTAACAGTTATGATATAGACAAATCCAATTTAAATGAGTGGGGATGACATCATTCGATGTTATTATGATTAATTACGTCATATTTTTTTAATTCAAAAATCTGTGGTCTAACGGTACAAGATCTCTACTTTCTAAAAGAAGGTTAAGGTTTGAACCTCATGTAAATTTTTTTTCAGAAAATATATATTTTTATTTTCTAGTGCTTGGTTGTCGTAAAATATTTACGAAGAAAAAAAATATTAAAATTTAATTAAAATAATTTATTCATAAATTTTACATGTCCCGTCCGATAAACTGAACTTCAATCTTGACATAAACCTTTGTCAAACATCGACAAAATAAAAATAAAAAAATATTTTACTTGAAAAAAAATATATTTTTCAAAAATAATATTTTACGTCCAAACAAATGGAACCCTAAGAGTTTTTCAAATATATATATTTTTTATGTTACTCATTGTTACCATGCTTAAACATGTAAAAACTATAAATTAATGTTTCAATTTTTTGTCACAATTCACAATATTGTATAAAACAAAAAATTTTCTTATCAAATTTATTTTTTAACGTCAAAAAAATATTTAATTGTGACGAGTCCACCTGTAATATGGTACACTAGCGCTGCTGAGGATCTTGACTCAAATTCAGTTAGCTACCAAGATGCATAGTATCTCTCGACTCAGGTCGGTAAGATGTGCGAGCCACTGAGTTATTATTATTTGTGAAAAAGAAAAAGAAAAAGAAAAACATCTGTAGGATTGTCAGTATGGGACAACAACAAAACTACTCTAATCCTCCATCGTCATCACTACCATTAACTAATTAATACTAAAGCAATTACCAGAGCTTCGTTTGAGTATTATACTGATTTTTTTATAATAGGTTTCTTTAAACCAACGGTTCATTATTGGATGAATGTTTTGGAAGATTGTTGAAGATGAAAATTCACTCCCACCTCTCACTCTCACACATCCTACATTCCAAACCCAAGCCCTAAAATTTTTCATTACACACACTTGAATCCCTCCAAATCCATCCACAATACCTTTATCAATCTCCCCCCTCTCTCTCTCTCTCTCTCTACGCGCACACACACACACATACATATAACTTGTATGCATTGACTTTTGAGATTTGATCGTTTTCAGGGAGAAAATGGTGGGGATTTTGGGAGAGTTGCATTCATGGAGGGGTTCTGAAATTTAAGGTTCTAATAGGGGCCCTTTGATTTGGACAAAGGCTCTCTCTCGATAGATATACATATATGTTGTTTTGTATACATTGACCTTTGAGATTTAATCATTTTGGGGAAGAAAATGGGAGAGATTTGGGAAGAATTGCATTCATGTGGGGTTTTGAAATTTAGGGTTCTACTAGGGGCCCTTTGATTTGGAGAAAGGGCCCTGTAAGAGGGGAGGAGGTGGAATTGCAGAGAAAGTTACAGAGAGAGAGAAAGAGAGGAGGGAGATATGAAGGTGTTGTTAGGGAGCCCAGGAACGGTAAGTGGACTGCTGTTGAGGATGGGGCAGTGTTTATTTGCGGCTGCTTCAATTGGAGTGATGATCTCTGCTTTGGGCTTCTCTAACTACACTGCTTTTTGGTATATTTCAATATCTCTTCTTATCCTCTATTGAGTACTAGAGCTAATTGTATCAGCTTGTTTCCTTTTATTTTTGTTGTCTGTTTATGGAAAGATTGGTTTATTAATTTGAAACTCTTTCTCCAGTTAAATCAGTTCATATTCAGTTTCCAATTTCAGAATCTTAGGTTTTTTCGAACCTTGAAGCAAATGGATCTTTTTAAAAAATTAATTTTCTGTGATAAGTTGTCCTGTTTCAGTCACTCTTTTGTTGGGTTTCTAGTCTCCAATTTTTTGCAATTTAGTTTTTATCAAGAAATAACATCTAGGATTATCTTCGCATTTTGTGAGCCCAAAGGCATAGTCTTATGCTTGGCTGAATCAGGGAACTCACACTGCAACATGTTCATGTGTGGAAGTTAGTTTGATGGTTTTCTCCTAGGCTTTGTTTGGTTAGGTGGAAACAGCTAGAAAAGAAAGGAAAGAGAAAATTTTTAATTTTTTTAGAGTTTGGATAGATAGAAAGAGAAAACTAATGGAAAATTAGTTTCCATTAATTGAGTATTTTCCCTCAAAAATTTACACGTGAAAGAAGCGCTTACTTATTTGCAGTTCCTATTTTACCCAGTAATTTAATCATGCAAAGTTCTCTCCAAAACAATTATATGTACACAATATCAATGATAATTTTGGTAAAATTACTCAAAATAGATCCTACTTCTAAATAGAATTTTTTATTTCTTTTAAAAGTATGTTCTATGTTGCAATTCTAGCCACTCATAATCCGGTATATATATATATATATGGTGAAATGTTTGATTTTTCTTCCAAAAAGTAGTAGTGCCTCTTCATTTCTAATTTTTTTTTTTAATTTGTTTATCTTAAACTAATAATTAGTTTTACCTAAAGAAATATTATGAAGCCTTATTCTAAATATAAATATAAAAAATGAATATAAACAATTATATATTTGAATTTAATAATCCATCATTTTAGTGCATAAGGGTAGTTTTGGTATGCAAAATCACTTTCCTTTCACTTTCATGCTATCCAAACTAACAAACTAATATTTTTCTACAATTTTCTTGGATAAATTTTCATGCTAACCAAATGCATGCTAGAAAATCTCTTTTCTTTTCGATCACTTTCTATTTCTTTTCTTTTCTAGCTTATTTTCATCTAACCAAACGGAGCCTTAAGGTTGCAATGTGTTTTTTTTTCTTTCTTCTTTTTAATTAATTACAAGTGAACGAAAATGTATTTTGCCAATCAACTATATATGATCCTTTTGGAGATATGGGAAGTGGTGATGGATATCTCATTTTTCTTAGTATTGCGCGTATCACCCCAAGGTTCTTGCTAATATAGTAATTGAAGTTACCAAATGTAAATAACTTTTGTTGGTTATTCTCATTTTGAGCTCATTATATATTTTCTCTATTCCATGATGGGTTTACAATTTTTAATTTTCTTAAATTTTCATGACTGTGCTCCTTTGCCTATCATTCAAAATGTTGGTGTTGGCTAAAGTTACTATTTCATCAATATGTAGAGTTATTTACTCAGAAAAAATACAATAAAAAAAAGTGGGGGTGTGCTGCAGTGAAGATGTTGTAATATTCATGGCCAGTTGGATGGTTAATATTTTCTTTATATTCATGTGCATGTGCATCATGGTTTACTTTCAGGTGTTCTACACATAAAATTATTGTTCAAATTAATTTTCCTGATTTTTCTGGTGTAGACCATCAGTTCATACATGATACATCCTTTTTTTGTTTGCACTTTGTCTATGAAGACATCAATATATCCATTCTTTTGCATATTTTAATAACACTACATGCTGTTTTGATCCAGCTATTTAATTGCATCAATGGGGCTTCAAGTGTTGTGGAGCTTTGGACTTGCATGTCTTGATGTCTATGCTTTGAGGATAAAGAGGGACCTTCAAAATCCTGTCCTAGTGAGCCTGTTTGTCGTGGGTGATTGGGTATATAATTTGAACTCTTTGCGTTATTGCTCATATATTCTTCATTGAAAATGCATCAATATTGTCATATGGATCAGATGCATGATCATCGGCATGGAGTCTTTTGTTTACGGAAATGGAGCAATTCTTGTTTAAATTTCCATATTTCTTAATATGTATGTTTATGCTCTTGGCAAGGAACTGCAATGTGAATTGTTTTCCCATTTCAAAGGCAAATGGATAGAGTGTTGTTTCATTTTCATTAAAGAGACAGTGTCTACAGAATGACTTATCAGTGTCACTAAGGATTATTTTCTCATGGGATTTGTCATATGGTGGTATAACTTATTGTAAAAACTTCTCAGTAGGCCGTGATAATATATTCAGGAGTCAGCTGCTTCCCTATCTTTTGTGATTTCTAGTAAATGTTTGTACGCAAGAATGGATTGATCTTAATGCACATGAGCTCTAATTTAAGTTTAATCTCATGACCTGCCCGATTTTGGGTTTATAAAGCCCTAGACGTAGAGGTGCTAGTTTAACCTTTAATGGGAATCAATGTTACAAACATTTCTATCCTTGGACCTATGAGTCTTCACCATTAGTCTGTGTGTGTGTGTGTGTGGAGGGATTCCAAGTGTTTATTTTGTTGAGTCCTTCCTATGACTGCAACAATTAAGGCCCATATTGTTGGTTATTTAAATATGTAGTTTTTGTTGAGATTTTTGACTTTTTTTCTAGCTGAATCCACTTTGCCTTTATTGAATTAACTTAGCCTAGACATTTCTCCCTATATTACTTGTTTGAAATTGCTTTTATGTTGCATATATTTGAAAAAGTTATCCGAGCAATTTATCTGACCATACATTCATAAGTATAGTGGTTGAATTTGGATGTGGAATTATTGTATCCAGAACTTTAAGGGCTACATTCCTGCTTTAGAATGTGAATTTATGTCATGACAATAAATTGGTTTAATGCAGGTGACGGCTACTCTTTCACTTGCAGCTGCATGCTCTTCAGCAGGGGTTGTAGTTTTGTATGCGAGAGATTTGCATTTTTGCAAGGGTACAATGCATGTCCCGTGCAACAGATTCCAGCTCTCTGTATCTCTGGCTTTTGTCACCTGGTTCCTTATCGCTGTTTCTTCTCATGTAATGTTTTGGATTTTAGCCTCGGTTTGAATTATTCATGCTTTCTTCCCTATTCCCACGGATATAACACAATTCAACACCGTCACTCTTGTTTCACATGTAAATCTGATTGTTTTACCCATATAAACTTACTTTTGGGGCCATTGTTATGTTTCTCCTTTTCAATTGCTATGAATTGTTTTATGAACTTTTTAAGGTTCACTCCTACAGTCACAGGTTTGGTTCCAGCTAATACGTTCTTATCCTTTCTGCCCGCCCCCTCAAAAGCATAGGAACGTGTTTTTTTGTAGCTTTTCAATTGCAATTGAACTGTGAAAGAATTAATTCGGCAACAAAAGCTTGCTATCTAAACTATGCAGTTTGTATGGGCAGAGCAGGGTGGGCCTTGTAATACAGGTAATGTCAGTTTTAAGTTTTCCTGTGAATTGACATTGCCACAAAGAAAATCATTCATTTTGGTAGCGTAGTGTTGCAGTCAGTGTTCCTATGGTTGGTAGACTGGTTGTGGTTGCTTTAATTAAAGCAATCTTGACTGGTTTATAATGGATCATGCGCTATTCCGCCGCGCAGATTGCGTAGAGATCAATTTAGGGGAAAAAGAAGTGCCATTTCAAATGCAGGGTAGTATACGTGCAGACACAACACAGTTCATAGATTAGGATGGCTGAAAAACGCAGCACCATTGACTTGGCAAGAGCATTTTTATATTGGAATTATTTTTAAATCCTGCTGCAGATGTGCTGAGAAATAGGTTCATGAAAGATGTTTTTTTTATTTATTATATTGAAATAAACAGGTATGAAACTTTGTCAAAATACTTGCTTAACAAGTCCGTTGCCACAACGGATCTAGAACCAGCAACCATAATTATTTCCATAAAAATCTTATAGGAAAGCAATGCCCTTCGAGTGAGAAGAAACAGAGATGGTTTCTAACGCTTCCCATTATGGATTCGATGTAAGGTTCATTCAATGTCATGCTTATGCTTTGGCAGTGGGAGGACCTTTTAATGGTTTTTGCAGAGACAACAGAGAGACATTCTCTACCTTTCAGTCTCCAGATTTACCGAGAAAGAGAGAACCTTCTGGTGCAGAGTAGCAATGGCAGAGGGAGAGAAATTTTAACAACAGTGGAGGACATTTGCCAAGGTACAACATAACATGGTATGAATTGTTAAGTGAATTGCATATTTACCTTACTCGGTCTATTTTTTTTTTTTTTTTTTTTTTAATCATGACACATCAGTACCAAAATAAGATGGAGGATTGTATCTCAACTTAATACAAGAAGTTAAGACAGTGACAGTTTGATCTCACGCTGATTTACATGCTATTTGGAGACGGTCTCAAAACTTTTTCCGTTCTGTGACATATGTAATAACAGTAGAAAATTCATGAGAGTAACATGGACCAGATAGAGATACGCTTGGTTTGTTTTTTTATGAGAAATAAAACTAATTAGGGATGTAAGATTTGATCATTTCTTCTACCTTTGTGACAGGGTTTACTACTATAAATTGACAATTATGATAAAATACATGGAAGTGTGTTAATAAGTTCGGGTGTTTATCTAATTTCTCATTTAAAAGGGTGAAGAAATTTCATAAAACTAGAAAAGTTTAATTGCGTCAATTTGTAGTGATGACATGGTATTACTAGCTTATTAAATATTGACACGTAATAATTCCCTAAAATAAAACACTTTTACTTATATGACATATATACAGTTGGTTGATGCATAAATAACAAAATATTAAAGGTGCATAAGTCTCTCCACAAAGATGCACCAGATGCACCATGTCATTAGTGTACCCATCCAATGATAATGCACCATTTCAAAAATGTTGGTCCAAAAAAATTGTTGATAACGGGATAATATGTTATATTTCATTTAATGAGTATACTAATGACATGACGCGCTGTCACACTTAATATTTATTCCTTTAACAAATTATATTTGTGGAGGTTTATGCAATTTGCCCGATAAAATAATAATAATAATAATATTAACTGATCCGCATCAATAATTTTGGGTTATGTTTACCATTCTGCTTCACTTTCCATTTTCGCAAAAAATGGAAAAGCAATTTACAAAAAAAGTATTGATACTGTGTTAATGAAATTGAAAGAATTTTGATTATTTAATATTACCTTTTCTTTTAATTATTGTATGGCTATGTTTGGTAGGCATACAATTGAAGTTTTGAAAATAAAATTGGTGAAATTGTAAAAAAACAATTCAAAAAATTGAACCAATTATTATTTTTTAATTCCATCAATTACAATTCCGTAACTACGATTTCAAAACTTTAACTCTATGCCGTTAACTGTCATGCATGATTAAGAAGAGTTGTGCCGCGAACACCTAGAATTAGTAATGCGGGCTTTGGTTTCTTGGGACTAGATACATTACAATTTATTATTATTTTTTTTTAAGATAAGAAGGGTTAGAAGTTAGATTGGTAAAAATAAAGAGTCGAAATTTGGCACTCTAAAAATTTACTGAAAGTATTAATTTACTGAACTATTGAGACATCTGCCTAAATACATTATAATGACTGACCAAATAAAAGACTATATTTTTAATATAATATTCCAGCATTCTATCTACAACAAAACAAATAGAGTTGAAGCATTGACCATAAGTAAAGAAAAATGAAACTTGGTTCAGGCTCGGATGAAGCCCACAGGCACAAAGGGGCCTGTGGAGCAAGTAATTCATACCAAGTAATTCTTTAATGCAATATATTGTGCCTCCCAATTTAACATAGCATAAAGGCGTCACTACAGAGTCTTGAGGTACGAGACTCCACGATTCGGAGCTAATTTATATAGGATGTAATCTTTGGTTTAGAAACATTAAATCCGCGGCAAGAATGAAGACCCTAGATAAGGTTCCATTATTCCTTACTCCACCTCGAATCCATTTTCATCACCCCAAATATTTATATATATAATGAAGTAGAAGAAGAAGATATAAAATAAATTTACAGTTAACAGTATGGCCTCTTTGCCATTAAATACAGACTCCTTCAAATCACACAAAACATAATCAACATTTACACTCCAAATAAACCTTTCTTTTGGCCTCTTCACATTTCACACACCAACACAAAAAGCCAGTGGTCCCTCAGGTTACCCACTGCCTTATCAGTTATCACTCCAAACTATATAATCACCAATTGAAAATAAAAATAAAAATAAAAACAAAAACAAACCTGTTTTTTTTTTCTTTCTTCACACGTACAGTTCTCAGTACATAAAATTACCAAAGCCCACCATCTTTGACAAATTAGGTGCCGTAGGATTTTCCATAGGCACATAGTTTTTGGTAGTAATTTTCATCGTCATGATTACGTAACAACTTGTTTCCGTGAGGTCAAATGGCAGGCTGGAGATTGAACACCGGCCTGTATGATCCTTTTGGTGGTTGAGGAAGGCGATGAAGACGTCGAGAAGCCACACTCCGACCGGAAGAGTTGGATATCCGATGCTCGGAACCGTCCCGAGTCCCCGGGAAGTCTCATGTAGGAAGCAGAAGGCGACTCATTGAGCCATGAACCTGTGAAGCCTTGTCCATCAGTACCATTCTTGTACTGCATTATGGCTCTATACACAATTGGAATAAGACCCTCCATTTTAGTTAGACAGAGAGAGAGATATGTCTAATTGGAGGAGGAGGTGGGATTGATTTAAAAGAGGAGAGAGAGGGGGTGATGACGTGGCGTAATGGGTTGGAGTCCAGCTGGTTACGCTAGGCCACGCAGACATGCGAGGGAATTGAAGAGTACTCGATAGCGCAAACCCGCACGAAGACTTTGAAAGCTCCATCCAAACTGCAGCCCACCTTCTCTAGATCATATCTAACCAAATCTCACTGCAATTATTTATCCATATAACTATATATATAAACATATTCATATATATATATATATATATATATATATATATATTATGTATGTATGAATGTATGAACTCAATTTCGGTACACTTATGCAACACTTTCATCACAATGCAATACAATTACATCGCAAAATGACATACTCGTGCAATAATTTTTAAAAAATTATGCAACATACTTATATTAATTAAAAATACTTGAAATATTATAATACCATTAAACTAAGAATTTAATACATTTAATGTAATTGTTATGTTTACGATTTAAAATTATTACATTTATGGTCAAAAATTGTTGTACTCCTCACTAGCTAGAGATGCCCCCATATATTTGAGATAAGAGAGGGTGTATCATCTTTATTAATATTAACTTCTTATTTTGGCAATTCTTTAATGGGGTTGGTAGGTTTATGTTACTTTAATAATATCGTCCACCTTTCGAAAAAAATATTTCATCTGCAAACCAGCAAGTGGCCACACTTTTCTTCTTGCTAAGCTCATCAATTGTTTTTTTATTGATAGTTTGCTTAAATGTGAAGTTAAACTATGCTTTTTAAAAGATTAGGCAGTGAATGAAGCATGGAGACAAATGTATGGTACAAGATCTACATCTTCTTTGACAAACAATATATGTTTACAAGCCAAACTAATTACTATATGATCATATATATATATATATAGTTGTTTCATCTAAATTAATTCTGTCCTTTTAAATAAGGAACACATGATACAAACCCAAAATTCCAAATGACGTGTTCAATTTCTTCTACGATCTTAATCCCAACCAAACAAATGTTCATGGTTTAATGTGGTTGGGACGACCTAGCTACAGCTTCTAAAACAAACACGTTCTATTGCACAGGTAAAATGTTTATTTAGAGCCCTTAGTTGAAACTTCAAACTGAAAATATATTTCTTATATATGACTTGAAGAGGAAGTTGGGATAGCGAGGTGCCACCAAATGCCTATCCCATGCATTAAACCATATATATATATACACACACACACATATATAACTTTTTCTTTTGTGTAGGTAAATAGATAGATATCTTATCCTAATTGTGGCATTGGTTGCTTAATCCCAAGTTGCCACGGTGAAAAATACCTATTTTTGTATTTTTTTTGCAAAGTAATGATATATAAGTAGATTAGAAGTAGCACCATAAATTTTTATAAGTTCCCGTATAGTCATATAGTTTTAATCCCCATTTTTAATAAATTAGTTGAACAATTAAATCTTGAGACTTTTTCATATAATGATGTTTAGAGCGTAACTTTTTCCAATTTAATCACTAAAGTTTGTTGTACTGAGAAGTCATAAATTTATACCAAAAAACAGGAGAAAGCAAAAGGTGTGGGAAGTAAAAAAACATAATGTTTACCATTTTAATTACCTCTAATAGTAAACAATTACTCTTAGTTGCAAGTCAAAATCCAGAGGCTAGTGAAAGAATGTTGTCACTTCCATTGAATTCCCAAATAACATAAGATTATAAGACCCAACCACTATACCTAAAATTTTGAATTCTTTTGACTGTTACAAGGTTTTAATATACTAATATGTATATATATGTATATGTATGTATGTATGTATATATATGTATGTATATTCTGTTATACGTAGTTAACAGTAAGAACGTTGACATTCAAGTTATGCTTTGCTTGCTCCATCAGGACACCTCCTCTAACGTCTCCATCGTTGATGAAGTCATTACCTGCATCATCACTTCATCAAACGGTTTGAAATCAATTTTGGTCGACCCTTTTGTTTTTTTTTTTTTTTTTTTCAAAGAAGATCAGATCAACCAAATCCTATGTCCTAAGCAAAAAGCTAAAAAACTGTGTGCGCCTTAAATATTATATTTTTTTATTTATTACCCCTTATATTAAATTTTTTTTAACAAATAACTACCTTGAAGTATTAAAAATATTGCCAGACTCCGTTTCATCAAGTTACGGTAATAAAAAAAAGGGGGTCAAAGTATTGGGTCCTTTCGAAAATCCCAAATTATCGTTTTGGATTGATCACATAAAGCCCTTCAATTATAAAAAAATTGCAGATTAACCCCTACTATAGGGAGTAAAGTGCAAATTGTTATATTTGAGAAGGTTTTTTTATAATATGTATTTGAGAAGGTTTTGCGCACATAACAGAACAATTTAATAATTTTGAAGAAACATTTAACAGCCACATAACAATGACTGATGACCTTTTTTTGTATTTTTTTTTAATAGTTTAGGGAATTAATTTTATTATGATATAGATATATTTTTTTTATATTATTATTTATAGATCAGAGGTTTGTGCAATTAATCCTCCGCGCTCATATGTGTGTGTAAATATACACACACACACACACAAATAGTAGAGAGGGGTGGTGTTTCACTGTCACATTCCAAGTCAATAGTAGTTTCGCCCTTGAAATTTTTGTGCAGGCACAAAATGACACAAGTAAAATTGGATACATCACAAAGACGCAGAATCTTCCTGTTGTGGTTCTATCGCTAACAACTTAGAATGGTCGCCCTACGCTTACGGATTAGCAGCGACGAGACTCATCGATCGGCCGGCTCTTCCAATCAACTCGTATACATATAATACATATGGTTAATGTCACCATCAAGTCTCAGCTGAAATGTAACTACTTTCACCAAGTGCGCATGTAAAAGATGAATCATATTTTCCAAAAAAAAATGATGAATCATATTCTAATTTGTATTGGACTAATAAATCATTCTTATCCGTTATCACAGCTTAGGCATATCAACTTTCATGTTTGTCGTGATTGAATGGCATGAATTAACAAAATTGTTTTGATGGGTGACGTATGGACATTCAAAATATTTCTAAATCATTGTTATTATTATAATTTAGTTATGCTCAACAAACATTTGAGTTATAAAAGTCTTCAATCATATATAAAATATAGTTATAAAAGTCTTCAATCATATATAAAATATACAAAACGCCATGTCATTAGTGTTTTCATCCAATGATAATGCGCTATTTCAAAAAATAAAAAATAAAAACAAAAAAAGGCCCAAACTGTTGGTCCAACCCCCAAAAGCTATTTAATAAATATAAAATTCTTCACTTTCCAGGAAAGTTTATGAAGAAACTATGGGCCTTACAAAACCAAGAAGGCTATAGTTGCAATAAGGAATAATTTATAGAAGGCCAGGCTTCAAAAATTAGAAAAATTCTTCACTTTCCTGGAAAGTTTATGAAGAACCTATGGGCCTTACAGAGCCAAGCGCAAGTGGTTCATCTAGATTGTTCATCTACTTTTTGGGAATGTTGATATTAGAGAATCATTCCCAAAAAGACCCCTTTTTTTGGTCACAAATGACAAGTGTCACCAATATATCGTTTAAAAAAAAAGAAAAAAGAAAAGAGAGAGAGAGAAAAAAACTGTTATAACAATAAGTGCAGTACATTATTGGGGAATCAGATTATTTCGAAACCTGCATTGACAATATTCATGGTTTTAAATGGTACTTAAACCAAGTGCTGTGAAAACAGACTCCGAATGACTTCCACATATTTGAATGTCTTTTGGCCACTCATGCAGCTTCTGCATGAACACCAATGTCCAATCTCAAGCAAGCAACATTTGACGCAATTACATATAGATTGCCTAAGGTTATTAGCATCTCATCTGTATCGTCTAACCCAGGAGGGACTCTTTCTTTAGGATGAACTTTCTTTAGGATGAACTCTTGCAAATAATCCAAACCAACTACTACTTATAGAATGCAATTCAGGATAGATAATCAACCATAAATGTGTATATAGAAGATCTTCGGCGACAGTTTAGGATGTCTGTCTTAGTTTCATCGTTTTTGACTTCGGACTGGAGCCTGAAATTGCTCATCTAGCACCTTCTTCCCATTATGTTCAGTCACAATTAGTACTAGTGCAGTAATTTATTATTTACAGATCTAACTAACTAAAAGTAAAACAAAATTACATTTGACATGTTTCTATTTACAAAATTTGTTAACTTAGTCATATTGACATACCTATTTACAGATCTCAGGTGCAGTTTTCATTTCCATCACATTGTTTGGGATGAACTAGATGTAAGATGTACAGTAGTCAAGAAAACTTACCTAGCAAAATGTCCTCTTTGCTTCTTCACTTAAGGTGACGAATCACAAGGCTGTTTCAACGAGTAGCAGTGTGTGCCACCAACCACAAGCAATGCTCTTAGCCACACAATCATCAACGTGAACTCGAGAAGGTACATTTCGGTCAATAGAGTCTCCCAAACCCAGCTGCACGAAAACAATGAAAAAGTGAGATCCAAGGAAGGTATCTATGATCTTCCTTTTCCACTAAAAATGAAAATGTTTTAACATCATACCTGGCCATACTTGTTCCATCCCCAGCAATATACTTTGCCGCCCTCTTCAAGAACCACGAGCATGGAGCTATGTTAGGGTACTTGCAAGTAAATGTCAAACTCTACATTTATGTTCATGATTCTAGATGGGTGCCATTTTGGTTATACTTCATTTCATGCCTTTAATCCCATCCCACATTTGCTCCATGACATATTCTTTATTAAGCCAGTTTTGAGTCACGAAAGACTACTAGAGACCTTGTGTACTCAATACGATTTCATCCAAACATTTTATGGACAAAAAGCAACAAAAGATATAACATGCAAGGTAGAAACAGAATGAATAGATTGATGTTTTTCTGGTAAAAAATTTCAAAAAAGCAACTCTAACCTCATCCTGTACAGTCTATAAGATGTTTTGCTGCAATACTACAGACATATTTATTCACCATCAATATGGCCCCTTCCCTAAAAAATCCTTCTCCCACCCCATCTTTTCCTTTACCTTCACTTTTTTTGTTTTTACTTTGTTCCACTACCCACTACTTAAACGTCATACTTGTTGAGTAGTACCTGTTAATATAGCACTATGACGTGCCCCGCAAGATACAATCTTGGCTCGCAGACTTCCAGATATTGAAGCGTCCAAGAGCCTGGGAACAGTCTGTGACACACACACAAAGGCTATAGTAAGTTTCTAAACTTTCCTCTTTAGTAGAGTACTTTCTTAGAAATGCAACCTAAAGCTGTGTATGAATTGGAACAATGTTAAAGCAAAAGTCTAGTAGGCATCAAAATCCCAGTTAGTGGACCCCTTCACTTAATTGGATAGTAGGGGTCATTTGATAATGGCCAATACAACCAAAGACTGGAAGGACCTATGAAAGTTGCTCACTTTGCTGCCAGTTCCTCCCACTACAAATTAACTTGACACATCTATTACTTGCATAGTTCAAATAGCTGGTAATGGATCCTAGAAGGTACCTCAGCCTCATGAGCACTGGATCCCAATCCCAACTGTCCGAACTGGTTCCCACCAAAGGCATGCACACGACCTTCGACAGATATGCATAGTGTATGCCATAGTCCGGCCGCAATACCTTCAATTTGACTACTCAATAGAGAAGAGACACAAGTTGGTCTGAAAACATCATTTGTGTTACCTTGCCCACACTAATCCAGAAAAAGAGAGACCATAAGAGATTGAACTATCTTTGATAATCTCAATGAAGAGGTAAATAAACATGCCGCAAACAAGAGTAGATGATGGAGAAAGTATAATGAAGAGTTACAATAAACTATAATGAGCAGCCTCATATTCAATTCCAATCTAGTGATATGTGTGAATGCTTTACCACAAACGCCAAATATTACCTATTGAGCTTTCGTTTCATCCTAATCAGTTAATAAAAAATAGAAAATGAAAGAAATGCATATTTTCCCATTTGATAAATACTTCTTAGTATCCGAGAACATAACAATGAGAAATCATGTGAATTTGGTGTGATCTGGTGATTGGATCATTCAAACAAACAATAACACAACTAATATACCAAGCACCGTCACATGTTGACCATCAGTCTTTCCATGATGATACAAGGTCAAATTGCAACAATCACACCACAAAAAATCTGGTAGAAAATTAGACATGCAATTTAAGAATTGCAAATGTAGCATCTTATCCAGGGTCAGAAAATTAATTAGTATAGATGAATAGCACAAATTTATGGATGATTAGGTCGCATGTCAAATTGTCTCTATACCTTCACTTCTATAATCAACCAAGGAGAAAATGATTTTAATATTTCAAATAAAATTATTCACCTCAAATTTTTTATTAAGCATAATTTTTCTTAATCAGCTTAGAAATGGGCAACAATTTTTCTCATTTGAATATAATACCTTTATAACATACTTACTTTAGAGAATGGTATTAATCATTCAAAGGAAAGTAGAGTACATTAATGTCATTTACTCTACCATCATCATAGTATAAAGAAAGATTTACCTGGTTATCTACTAGCATATACAATTTTTAGTCTTCATTGCAAAAAACTCTCTCCATAATAACTTTATATGTCTATTTTAAAATTACTAAAAGCACACTATTTTAGCAAGGGAGATAAAAACATGGCACTTTAATCAGTATCATTAGAGACTTGAAATGAGATGGTTCACTTGGCGTGAAAAATTTTATTCTGTGAAGAAGCTCACCTGTCCATAAAGTCCCCAACCAAAAGTAAGCACCGCTCCTGCATCTAATGAGGAAGAGAAAATGTGGATCAGCATATGGACAAATACAATCACTTAATTGTGAGATATTATTTTGTAATTGGCAATTATCGGAAACAAAACAAGTCCTTGTTGAGTTGTAATTCGAAGTCACTATATCGGGATAGCGACTGCGGAATGGAAAGGTTGTTCAAAGTTACCATAATTGACATCATTCGAAATAAGGTAAGAACAACACATTAGGAAGGATTCTAAAAAGGTTAGGACACATTCTACACTTGGTATTTATTTCAAAACTTACCATACAGTATTTTTCAACCTTAGTGAACCAAAATTCAAGTTCTGGCCAACTTGAACCGCTTCAGCCCCTCTAAATCGGTTCAAGGTTTCAAGATTGGATTCGAAAACCAATCTGCGAAACTTGAACCGGTTTAGTCCCTTTGAACCGGTTCAAGATGTCCTGACAGCAATCCAACTGCTAGTTTCCTTTTCCTGATTTATTTCCAAGTTGGTCTAGAATTGTACCAAGTCTTATGCACGATTTTTTTTTTTTTTTTTTTTTTTTTTAAGGACTAGGTCATTCTAAACTCTATATAAACTGTGTTATACACCTAGGTTTAGATATGGCTTTTGCACTATCAAATTAATATTCTTAAAAGCCTTAGAAAGATTTTAGTTTCAGAAAATCTTAGAGATTGTTTTGTTAGTCTTTCTAGAACACACACATATTCACATAGTGATTTTAGAGTTGTGCTGTTCAAATCCTAATCGTGATCATACAGTTGCATCTACATCGATCAGATAAAAGTAGATCTATTTCTATATCGAATTCAGACGATTGAAGAACATGAGTAAAAGCGATCACACTTTGAAAGGGTTGGAGCACTCGTGGAGTGTTGTCTGATCTACTTGCTATTCTTCTACAGAAATCAAGCATAAGCCTGAGGTCAAGTTGTTGTTGGACGGGGAGTCGCAAAGCCAGAGTGTCAGTTATTGGTGTTTGGTAGAATGATATATAGGGTGTGAGCCAGAGTCAAAGTTCAGTGTACTTTGTTTCAAGCATAGTGGATCGATTTACTTTGGACTGCACAGTCCATGAGGTTTTTCCCACACAAACAATTGACGTATTTAATCAACTAGGGTTTCCTCGCTAAAAATCCTGGTGTCATCTCTAACTTTTACTTTGTTTTATTTTATCTGCATATGATAATTGTTTAATTGCTAAAATAAAGAAAGTTAGAAAAACACAAGAACTGTTTTCAAAATAATCAAAACTTTCTAAATATTCCGCTGCGTACAACTCACATTAATATCCCTAAATTAAATGTTTCAAAAGAAACATGTTATAATGCATTATGCAGCTGGCAGACAATCTTAACCAAGCAACAAGCAAATTGCCAAAGTAGTTAGAGAAGTTGTTAAATAGAACTCAAAAATGTATCCTAAATAAAGCACAGAGAGACATTATCAAGAAACTAAAATATGTATGACCTGCACCACCTTAAGGAACTAATGCACGATTTATTTTAAGTACCTAGGGAGGAACTAAAGATGCTATCATGAAGATATTATCATTAAGAGGAAGTCCCCAAGTGCTGACCTGTTATGACTGCACTGTGCCGGCCACCACAAGCAATGCCTTTTATGTAGCTTCCTGGAACTTTAAGTGCCCGGGTTATCGAACTAATGCTTCCTCGATGAACTACTGAAGACCTATCTTTTCCATATAAAGATGGCTCAACGCAAGGTATGAGATGAGGAGAAGATACCACTTTTATCCGGAAGCCCAAACCTAGTTGCCCTTCACCTCCATACCCCCAACCCCACACCTGTCCTACACCTGAAACTTGGGTACAAATATGATGCATCAGGTGTCTCATTTTACATTAAAGATCTTCCATAGCTTCATACATCCTATGACCTACAAACTACTTGCTGTAGCGACAAAGAAAAAGCTACTATACCAGAAAACTGTAGTTTGTGGGCTGCAGTACCCAGGAGGTAGTGGATTTACCTGACAGTGCTAAAGTGTGACGCCCACCAGCGGCAACAGAGGTGATCCTCACTCCTGGATTTAATGCTACAAGGCAAGGAGGTGCTGAAAGAGTTTCATCAGCAGATACTGAATCTTCAGGTTCTTGTTCAGACGATAATATTTTTCTTCTCTTCATGCTTTCTTCTCCAGCCTTTCTATTCTCAGGATGAAACACTGTCCCGCCAATAGATTTTGAGACTTGAGACTGTGAGCTCACTACAATTGATTCAGTCGTAAATGGATTAGTTTCCAACAATTCAAAAGACTATTCTATTAACTTTCCATTGATAATATGATGGCTCTAAATCACCTTGTTCGGTCAGTGTTGAAATTTGTTTTTCAAAAGTGTCCTTTTTGAAGCTTCCCCTAGCAGCCAAATCATGGATAACTTTTCCAGAGGGAACACACTCCTTCCAACCCCATGTGTACACTCCACCTGCATCTGCAATTGAGAATTTTAAAGAACATGAGGTTTGAAAGCTCCAATATGTTTATAGTCCAAAAAGTTACAGAATTTCTGATTTTTTTTCCCTCTTCTTTATCTTCTTTTGAAATTTGCAGGATATTTAATTAATACTAAGTTAAATTTCTCCTCTTTTTTTCTTGCTGAGAAAACAGAGGAAAATTGAAGAAAGTAACAAATTAGCTCTTGAATTTTTCATCATTAGCAATGTGAGAAAAACAAGATCCTTCAAGTTGAGACTGCTATGCTTAGTCAAGGGCTAAGGCAAAGTTTAATTTAGAAAGTAGCAATGATATGAAACATAAGATTGAAAAGTTTATTTCTACAAATTTTCCTTAGTTTCTTGAAACCAAACAGATTAGGCATGCCAATGGATCAGATGTTGATTATTTGCAATGCTGATCCAAACCAGATTGACCCAAGAACTAATGGATCCTATTTTTATTTCAAATATGGAGTATTACATAGAAAATGTATTGCTAAGATCTTTGATAATTCAATATGAAGCATTAAACACTTAAAATCTAATAATGAAAATTGTTCGGATCTTTTCTTCAATTGTTTTTGTTACAATCATCTCTACATTATTGTTGTTAAACTCAAAGCAGGTTGGAGTTTTATAATAGATAGGATTAGGTGTTGCCAGAAGAGAAGAGAATGAGAGAGAAGATGCAAAAAGGGTTAAGAGAATGAGTTAGTTTTCCTCATCTAGTCATCTCTCTTTATGTATTTATATTTACTTAAATTACTGAGAATTACACTTAGTATTGTAATCCAGTGGTGTCACCTCTACCTTCTAAAGTGGAAGGTTGAGGGTTAAAGTGGGTGATGAAATCCCATAAACTAGAACATATTATTTTAAACATTATTTTGATGTCAGAAATTTGTTATTTTTCAGTCTTCTTGTTTATTAAATCTTCTCAAATAGGATCATTAGAACAAGGTTGCTCCATTGTGTCCTGGAGGTCACGGTTTTGAAACAAGATAGGAACCTCTGCACATGTGGAGGTAGGGCTGCGTACATTTGAATCTCCCCCGTCCCCGCAATGGTGGGAGTCTCGTGCTCTAAGTTTGCCCTTTTTTTAAACAATGATATTATTGCTAACGTCTACAGGTTCGGAATGGCAGTGTACTGATCCACTGGGTTATCCAATTGGATTGGATCAATAGTTTTCTTTATGATCTAGTCCAAGTCTGAACCATTCTCCAGCCTACAAGTAATACGTTTACGTTAAAAAGGAAAAAATAGAACCTGTAATGGAAACACAATGGGCCCAACCAGCTGCAGCCTTCACTATTGGAGCTTTGGTTGGAAGCAAAAATGGTTCTGGAGTTTCCTTGACAAGCATAGTAGTGAAAAAAGATGCAAAATCTATTTAAAAAAGAGAAAAAGAAAAAAAAAAAAGGACACAAATTAGAGGTCTACTGCAATACCCCATGCTTCCCTGAAGTCAAATAGCTTTGACCTTGATCATCGGCTGAACCCCACGTTATGAGTTTCCCAAATTCTGTTTAGAAATAAAAATTACAATAAATGAGCTGATTAAATAACCATACATAAAGCTATAAAGAAATTGTGTGGAGATACACTGGAAAGATGGTCTTCAAAGCATAATTAGTCAAAACTCTGTCAAGTTTTCTTGGATTACAACAAAAGGGAGGTTGATAAGAACCCTTCAATCCGTAAAGCGGTATAAACCCTTTTAATAATCTAAAAATGAAAAGAGATGACTAAGCTGAGTTTGCAGCGTGACTGAAGGTTATCTTAAAATTAAACCAGATATAGGAATTACAAAACTTTTTAACTCCAATTGTTTCAGTGAAAAGTAGCTTTCTTTGATAGGTGATCAACTGATTTTAATGAAAAATAGTTCCTAGAGATTGTATTCAATAACTAAGGCTTCAGATATATTATCGGGCTTCTTCAAAAAGGCTTTGAAAGTAACTCTTTGCACATGAAGAGTTAAAGTGATTTTTCTAGAAAATAAAATGAACAGATAGGAAAGAAGTATACTAGGGGAGAAGGAGGATCAAAATTAATGTGTTTAGAATTAATAAAGAAAGATATGATAACATGTGGATCAAAATTAATGTGTTTAGAGTTAATAAAGAAAGATATGAAAACATGTGGATTGACAGAGGCCATGGCCTTAAAAAGAGCAAATGGAAATGTAAGATTTATGTAGCTGACACCAAGTAATTAAGAAAAGGCTTGGTGTTTGTTGTTGTTGCGGTGGTGGTGGATAGGAAAGTAAGTAAACCTCAATTAGCTTGTGTTAAAGGAATAGAGAGGATAAAATAAAATTTGAACATCGTGTTAGTGTTATAACGAAAAAAAAAGGATCACAACTACGTGAGAATATTGCATTAGGATAAAAATTGAATGAAATTTCTTTTATCTCATCTCAAATTCTATATACAATTAATTTAAAGAGGGAAAATGATAAGTACATTATTTGATGTTAACAAATTTGTTAGATTTGATCAAAGCAAAAGGGGAAAAAAATGATAATACCAATAACACAAAAAATCACAAATGAAGCTCATTTCTATACTCTGTATATTTTAAAATGAAAGAATCCAAAGTAGCCTAGACTGCCTAGTGGTACTACCTAGCCTTTTAAAGTAGAAGGTCAAGGGTTCAAGTTTCAGAGTGGGTGTGTGAGTGTGTTTCTTGCTAGGTAATTAAGAAAAAAAAAAAAATTCATGTTAGATCAACCTTATCAACTTGTTTTTACCCAATTACTATGTGCATTTCTATTATTTATAAAAATTCAATATTAGACTTTTTATTTATCTATTGTATTGTCCCAATTATTCTCATTTTTATGAATTTAGTCATTCAATATCTAATTTTTTTTCATTATACTTTTTTTTTTTTCTTCATAATACTTGCATTTTATACTTAAGTTAAGGTTACGACCCATTTAAGTTAAATAGATCATTATACCAAGTTGTGTATTAGATAAGTTACATGTGTCGTGTTGTGTTACCTGTTAATAGGAGTCGTATAAGTGTTAGTTCCTGGCACACACTATTCATGTTCGGATTGACTTGTTTCCCATAATTAGGGATGCACACGGTCCGATTTGGATCGGATTGGGAGTATTTTGGAACCAAACCATTTATAACGGTTCCACTATTTTTGAAACCAGACCGAACCATAATGTTTATGGAACCAAACCAAACCAAACCGTGAAAAACTGGTTTGGTTCAGTCCGATTTGTCGGTTTCAGTTGATTTCCTTTTTATTTTATTTTAATTTAGTAAGGGCAAAGTTTTTTTTAAAAAAAAAAATCAACTAACATTGATTTAACAGGCAAAAAAAAAAAAAAAAAAAAAAATTTAAGAAGAAATAAAGGAAAGAAAATTGAGATATATTTGAAAAGAGAAACTTGACTTTTTTAAAAAGAAATTTAAGAAATTTAAAGAATAAAAGAAAGAAAAGGGACACGCGAGAACTTTACTTTATTTAGGTTTACCGTATCATATACATATATAAATATATATATATAAGGGTAAAGTACAATAAACCCCCTTTATCTATTACCTAAGTGCAACTGACCCCCTTGAATTACAAATAACCCCCCAACTATGAATTTTGTTTAGTTTTAGGACAGACAAAGTTATTCTGGGCCACTTTCATCACCGGAAATTTGTAAACACTTTTTTACCCCTTAAACAGAGTTACAATACACTGCCGTTAAACATTGAGGAATTGTTATAAAATTACGTCAATGAGGTGTAATCCAAAGGGCCACTAAAATTTTGACACATAAGCAATCTTATCACAATAAACCAATGAGATAAATATAAACATATGGCAATTATCACCTTCACCACTCTCTTCAATTCCTCGGCGTCAACACCATGCCGATTTTACGCCTTTCCCCGACAACTCCATACTCTAATTCATACCTTCTCATCCTCCAGCAACAGAGCCTTCTGTGCCTCTTCCTTCTTCATCATCTTCATCTTCTTAAAAGCCCTTCTCTTCTCTCCTTTCAACTTGGGGGTTTCCTGGAAGTTAACAAAAATTCTACCTCGTAGTTTGTGATTGTGGAGTTGGGCTTTTTGTGAAGATTTTACTGCTCATGGAGTATACCTCTTTTTTTTGGTCGACGACGGTGTTGTGGACCTTCAAACAAATTTTTTTTTTTCGCTTTTCCTTTCAAACATATTTATGTGATTCGATTCCAATTTGAGTTCTGATTTGGATTCTAATTTCGATTTAGAGGAAGAATGTTGAGAACACCTGACATTTGGGTTGGCAAAATAAGAAGATTGTTGCTTCTTAAAATTCAAGAGAGTGAAATCAAAACAGATGGTCCACTGCAATTGTTGCTGTATCCAACGAATCTCATGCCGTCTTCTGCAATTGTTTCTTCTCCGGCGAAAGCTTCCTCCAGTAATTGAAGAACTACATAACCGCACAATCAACACACGCGCGCGCGCGGAGGGAGAGAGGAGCAGATCAATGGATTTATATATATATATATATATTATGGACATGAGAAGAGGGCATTAGAGTCTTTTCATTTTCATAAGGGCATTATGGTCATAAGATGATTTATGATTTATTATTTGTCACGTGAGTAAATTGTGATCGGAAGTTTGCTGGAATGGGTAATCTGCAACAAAACAGAATAGTTTTGGGGGTTTTCTGCCACTTTATAAATTCAGGGGGGTTTAGTGCTCATTTGAGTATAATTGAAGGGGGTTTATTATATTTTACCCTATGTATATAATAACATAGTAATAGTTTGGTCCAGACTAGTCCGGTCCAACACGACCCTAAATTAGGATAGGGGGTTTATTATATTTTACCCTATGTATATAATAACATAGTAATAGTTTGGTCCGGACTAGTCCGGTCCAACACGACCCTAAATTAGGATAGGAGGTTTATTATATTTTACCCTATGTATATAATAACATAGTAATAGTTTGGTCCGGACTAGTCCGGTCCAACACGACCCTAAATTAGGATAAAAAAAATTAAGATTTCATAATTTTGGACCCAAGACCGAACTAAGTCAGGTTCGGGATTTTTTGAACAGCCCTGCCCATAATACTCATAGGTAGACACTCCCGCAAACATGAATTGTCAGCCTTTAAAGCCTACCCACTGTGAAAATTCGACAAAAAGATTTTTGCTATGTGAAATTACAAAATTTAGACCCCGAATCCTCTCTCACTCTCTACATCAGTATTTTATCATATCGCACTCCGAAGACGTTATACACTGGACTACAAGAAATCACACAAAACCCATTATTCGGGTCAAAACCGGATAGCAACTCTGCCCGGGCGGAAACCATTCGGGCCACAACTTCACAATTTGAGTGTCAACAGAATTTCTTTTCTAATGGAACAGCAAAGGCAATCAAGAACAAATAACCAAAAAAATTAAAAATAAAACCGGATATCTTTACTAAAACGAAATCCCAAAAGACAGATAGAGAAAACATAAGGAAATTTTGAGATGGAATAATCACCTGAAATGACCATGGCGAATCCACATCCACCACCACAAACCTCCTTCCACGAGTCGCCGTGAAGATTCGCCGCCGGGAAATGGACTTTCGCCGGAGACAGCAGCGGTGATCTCTGCGGCGAAGCTCCAGGAAGATATCCAAACATTAACACCGCAAATTTCTTAGATTCTTCCATCTTCAGAACTTCGTCATCTGTTCCATTTCCATTCATTGCTTTTCGCAATCAATGAAAACAAAACCGAAAATCACAAAAAATCTAGCTCTCTGCGACACAGTCTCTCCTTTCCTCTCTATCTGATTTACACACACTCTGTTTCCTTTGGCTTCCAGAAACCGATAGAATAGTAATATTTGTTATGTATTTAATTCCACCGGATATCAATGGAAAAGACAGCGTATCATTTGCTAGCCAATAGTATATGCCACGTAGGATCCACGTGGGTCCATATGGACAAGTGTCGAAACCAAGACAGTTTGAGTTTACAAATTAGTGACACTTCGGATGTCGGAAGTTTCTGGAACATTACTAAAAGTATTCTAGTTGGATGCCACGTGGTGGTCGATTTTTTTCTCAAGCTAAAATCATATTTTTTAAAACTTGCACAAAGCTTCTCAACACAATCTAAAAACCCCTTAAACTAACAAAATTTATCAAATTACACTAAACTGGAGGCCTGCTCATTAAATAAGTTGTGAAATATTAAAATTGACATTACAATTTAATATTTAATTAAAAATTATAATTATTATTTTAAAATTATAAAAATAACCCTTTATCACTTCCAATATTATTTTTGTAATTTAAAAATAATAATTATAATTTTTAATTTAATATCAAATAACAAGATTAAATTTAACATTTTACAATCTATTAAGGGTAACTTGATAAATTTTATTAGTTCAAATTTTTTATTTAATTCTACTGAAAATTTTATGTAAAATTTTAATAATAGGGGGTGTATATTAACCTTTTATTTATTGGAAAATGATAAGTTGCACTTAGCAGAAGGAAGGAAAGCAACCAAATGCTTTGTTGTTTTGTTGTTGGGTCTTTTGGGTCTCAATTTGTCTGGATTTATGGCCCATCGTAGGCCGAATAGCAACATCATTTTTTCTGTAATTATTTCTTTACATATATAAAATTTTGCTTAATCTTTCAAGAGAAAAAAAGAAGAAAAGAAGGAGGGTCTTTAAATAAATCATACTAAAATACTTCAAAAATAAAATCATACAATTTAGGCAAAGATAAATTTTTAATTTAGTTAAACTTGACTAGAAAAAAGAGAATATATGAACTATGTGTGTGATATAATACTGTTTTGATATTATTTTTTGACTCATATCTCTTACAAACCGTAAGTATGTACTCAAATTTGCAACTCATCATAGCTTATACCTCATACATATTTATTGATTTTTATATAAAATATTAACCATTAGACATCATACATATTTATTTCTCTCTTTTTATAAGTAAAATTTTATAACTTGAAAAAGAAAAGATATACTCCGTACAATATTTGTTATGTGATTGCACAGTCCATTAACGCTGTGGGCTGTACGCCAAATATGTGGCCCAAATATTGATGGGCCGTTATAGCAGTGTGTCTGATAAATCCCTATAGAGCCCACCTGTGTTGGCAAGAGTCCAAAAGGTTTCTCCTCTCACCATATTTTGTAAAGTTCGTCACAAACACTTTTCAGTCGCTGAACTTGTGATTCTCGTTCGAACATCCGAAGTCGGACTCCCAAGAATAACAGAAAGCAACTCTATTAATTGAATTAAAATATATATATAAACAAGTGATATATGTATATATCAACACACATATGAAGTGATACAACCAGAGCATCTCGACCATTCAATTATTCTTCGAAATTATATTTTTTAATTTACATAATCATGCATAAATGTCAATCGATGAACAGTGAAATTGTTTGGCCTTCTCTACAATATAGCAACCTTCCATGTAATTTTCAACTATGAAAAGAAAACAATAATAATATATATGCTATCCTAATTTCTGTTAGTAGACGACATATATGTGATTAGGATTGTTTGAATCAATTATAATTAGATAAGTTATACAAATAATGAAATATTTAATTTTTCCTTTAAAAGGGGCAGAATTTGTGTGTGTGATTTAAGGAGAGTGCAATAAAATATAGTTTGTTCATTTGATAATGTAGACATTTTTTCATTTCAAATATTAATTTATGCCGAAAGTAAAATCCATATCTGTTTAATGGGACCATAGAACTTTTATGATTGGTGTGTCCCAATTATTTTGATTCAACTATTATAAATCCTATTTTACTGAAAATATTAAACATTTTATTATTAATTGAACCTATTAAAAGTGATAACAATAAAGATAGTGTGAACACATATGAAACACGTGTCAATTAATTACCACGTAATACAGTAGTACCAAGAAGCTGACAACTGGAACAACCCCCCTGAATCAAGGATGAGCAATTCCTTCTTCCTTACCGTGTTAGTTAGTTCACATAAATTCTATATTTAATTCATCAATCAATTTCAATTAAATCAACCTGCACACGTCTGGTCGTCATCTCTCTCTCCCTCTCTCTCATAATGTTATGTACTTATATATAATTGTACATATATACATATAGTTATATAATTGTAATTTAAAACATTGAAATGGATGTCTAACCAAATTCTTCTTCTAAGCTATTTTATGGATGAATGGTCCATTATTTGGACTAGATCTAATGTTTGCTGAAATTTCAATGCCAGTCAAATGGTTGAACCAAAGTCCTCCTAAAGACATTTGGCTAAGTAACAAAAGGAATTTTTTGAATTTTAATGATCAAATCTTTGTTTAGTCATTTCTTGACCCCATGGAGCCTAATATTATAATAAAATAAATAACTAAAATATTCAATTCATATACACTACGCCCAATTGGGAGTCTGGATCCCAAGTAAATCAACCAAAAGCCTAAAATGACCTTCCATTTTTTTTTTTTTGTTGGATAATTCGGGGTATTCAAGACTTCGTCCCGATTAATCCCTAATAATTCAAGAAGGGCGTCTCCCCACCTCTGGCTGGGTAAGTCGTTGCATTTAGGAGTGAACACGGTCCAGTTTGGATCGGATTGGGAGTATTTTGTGACCAAACTATTTATAACGGTTTTACTATTTTTAAAACCATACCGAACCATAATGTCCATGAAACCAAACCAAACAAGACCGCAAAAAACCGGTCTGGTTCGGTTCGGTTTGTCCGTTTCAATTGATTTTCTTTTTATTTTATTTTAATTTAGAGGAGGCAAAGTTAAATAAAAAAAAAATTCAACAACATTGATATAACACGCAAAAAAAAAAAAGAATTTTAAGAAGAAAAAAAGGATAGAAAATTTTGAAGAGAAATTTAAAGAACAAAAGAAAGAAAGAGGGCACGTAAGAATTTTACTTGATTTAAATTTAGGATATGATATATATATATATATATATATATATATATATATATATATATATCATATAACATAGTAACGGTTCGGTCTAGGTTGGTCCGGTTCAACACGGCCCTAAACCAGGACCGAACCGAAAAATTACGGTTCCATAATTTTGAGCCTAGGATCGAACTAAATCGCTATACAACTATCCCAAACCGCCCAATTCAGTATGGTCTGGTCCGATTTTTCGATTTATCGAATTTTTTGAACATCCCTGGTTGCATTTTGTCACAAATAATTTATCGAGTAATATTTTTAAGAGGAACTTATCATGAAAACAATCATGAATTGCCGCGAATTTAACCATTAAATTAAAAAAGATTTTGAAATATGTGAAAGTCAAATGAATTATTTAATACATCTTTTAATTCAGAAGTTTTAAAAAAAGAGTTCATCCATGTTTTTATGAGAGAGTAGTAGTAACTTTACATCTATTCAAATGGTATAATATCTTCTTTCTAAATAAGAAATAAGAAGTTGGAACCACACACAAGATATTGTGGTGTACATGTATTATTTACCTTTTGAAAAGAGAGGTAAAACTAAAAAAATTTACCTTAACTTGAATCAAGCCTATATTATTAGTATTATAACTAAAGTAATGATACATTTTTGAATTCGAAAATGTCGAATGAGAAATATGCGAGTAGAAGTGTAAGTTTTAAAACATAATATTAAGGTAATGTCATATGGTGGGACTCACACCTTAACTTACACAACGCTGAATTGACATATTAATAACCGAACCATCCTCAAGTGTAATCCAACCAATGTTATCGTAACCTAATTAATCCGACCTCAGAAAACATGCTGGATTGGACTTATGTTGGACTCACAATGTTAAAGATCGGAGTGAACTTGAGTTAATTTTTTTTTTTTTTTACCCTTCTTGGATTCAAGAGCAAAAGACGCAAGGGTCATGAGACTCATGAGTCATGATGGACAAGTAAAATATTTTTCAATGACATTGGCTTTTTTTTATTCTAACAATTTATGTAGTCAAGTGAATACTTTACTGGTGACATCTAGTGGCAACAATCTTAATTATTCAAGATGCTGCATCCATATACATGAGACATTGATTTGTTATATATAGATAAGGAAAGTGATCCGTTTCACCTAAATTTGTCCTAATTTATTTCAAAATTAATCTATTAGGGATGCTAACGACTTTTACTAATATTATAATCCATTAATTTTTTTAAAAAATATATTATAATCCATTATTTTTTAATTGTTGTATATTGAGAGAAGTACATGACAATTATCGGCTAGCGAGCTAGAATTAACCATACACAATTTCAAAAATCGGAACAAAGATTGAGGACTCCTATGAAATCGAATCATAACTTCAATATGGATAATAATATATAAAAAAATTCAAATTTTTTGAGAGCATATAGAAAATAATTATAATAACTGCAGTTTTGATCAGATGGGTGTTAATCCATCTTATTTCCTAATCATCCAGTGTCATGTCACAACCAAATTCCCTTGTGTGTCCCCGTATTTACACATTTCTAAATTAAAGCTTCATTATCAATAATATATATATATATATATATATATATATATATATATGTTTGCGTACTGTAAAGAAGAAACAAGAAGTAAAGGAAGGTCTTATCCTTTTTATTATTTCAAACAAGTTGAGAATGAAGACATGCGTGTTAAGTAGAATCTCTGGAATAGGACAAATTTAGTGGTATATTTTAATAAAAGAGATATCTTAGCTCATAATTTAGTTTATGGTTAATAATAGATTAATACATTCTAAGGGAAGGTCTGTTTGTGTCCTTTCTTTCGTGTCTCATGCCCATCCGTAGTAGTTAGGAAACTCTCTGAAAACACACATCTCTTTGAGTAATTCCTCCTTCAATCCAAGTGAAACAAGTGGATAATATTTTTCTTACCTTCCTACTCCTTTCGTCCCAAATTAAATATCGCTTTTGATGTATGTGAATCACAAATACCAAATGCTATATTTAATTCGGGACGAAGATAATATTATTTATATATATAAATACAAACGTTTTTTTTTTTTTTTTTTTGAGTATGTTCATGTTTCAGTTCACCCTCTCCTTAATTTGTCACATAAAAAAATAAAAATAAAATCATCCTAAGATCCAATCAGGGCTGCCTAACTCAACTCTAGATACTTTCGTTTTTTCTTCTTCTTCTTTTAAACCAATATAAAATAATTAGGTAAATTACATTAAACACCTTTGAAGTTTCAGCAAATTATACACGAGTAAGCCATCCATGGCTTATTACGCTCTTGCTTTCTTTCCGGCAAACCTGTTAACCAAATTTTATAAAATTACAATTTTACTCTTTTCTTGTATAAAATGCAATATTCTAGATTATTATAATATAAGAAAGTTATTAACTTTTACACTAAAATCACTTTCGATTGTCGGCGAACTAAATGAGGAGAAGTCAAAGTAATAAACTTAAACCGTCTAATTGTGTGTGTATGAACGGAGGGAGCTAAGGACATCCCCTAAAATTTTGTTTTTTTATATGTATATTTCTTACAAATTACAAGGTGCCCTTTGAAAATAACTGAAAATGTCCTCCCTATATTTTTTTATTTAACTAACCATTAGAGTGAGATCAACTCACATCATCTACTCCCAAATAAAATTCCGACTCCATACCTGCCTCTGTAATTTGTCTAAATCTTACGGAGGTTAATGTAATTTATCCAACAAAAAAACTCTCGACTTAACCGTTGTAAATATGCAAACTTAATCTTTCAAAAAAAAAAAAAAATGCCAACTTGAAGATTAAACCCTTATATTTAGACTTGTTGTAATTGATGTGAAACCATTATATAATAATAAGTGAAATTGTTGATTATTGGTAGCTAATATGACCATCTAAAAGATAAAGATTCAAAAATATTTCAAACACGTTAAATTAAAGCGACAAAATTGGGTCAAAAATTTATTACGAGTACAATTTTAAACTTTGAACAATCAACGTTTATGTGTAAACTGCAGTCTCCTAATAAACAAATTGAACCATCTACGTACGTTGATAGATGCTTATTGGCCATCATGCTAATTAACGGGACATTCATTACTTGACTGTTTCGTTTTGTATACGCGAATCTAATTAAATCAACCTTAATTTTTTTGTCTTTAATACCAAATCGTATTGTGCCAGAAAAATGGTTGTTGAAGTGTTTAGTCAGTCAATTGGAATATATTTTACAAGTTAATTAATACTTAATTATAGTTTCATACCCATCACTAGTTAGCAAAATGACATGTTATACTTTCTAGTGACGGGTATCATGCAACAACGTTTGATAACCGAAGATGTTGATAGGTTTTTTTTTCTTTTCTTTTCTTTTTTTTTTTTTTTTTTTTTTCCTTTTTTTGCGAAATTCAAGAATATTTGACGGAAAGTAAGAAGAGCTTTTACTGTTTAAGGTAATCTCGGTCGATAAAGGGTTCAATTTTTTTTTTTTTTTTTATTAAAAAAAAATGTTTTTCCAAATTAATGGGGTGTTAAAGTTGGTTGACCTATATATATATATATATATATATATATATATATATATGCAATCTGGTCTTTATATGTGAAAGTCTCCCTTCAAGCTTTATATAATCTTCTAGGTCATGGAAATGCGGACATGACAAAGGACACGGTTTGATACGTATGTGATAATTCTAATATTCCGTGTTTGATTAAAGCCTTTGATGATTTTGTCTTATGTTTCAACATGTTTCTAGACGGAATACATTTACCAAAGAGGGCCATGCACATGTGTTATTTTAAATAGGGCAAAGTACAATAATCTTCAATTATGAGCATTTTTCAGTAAATCCTACTCCATTAATTTTTTATCAAAAAATTCCTCCAATCTAGATTGGAGAGATGTAAAAAAGTAAATATTTGGATCAAAATGCTTTCATTATTATATTATTTGAATCTTAATTCACCCCAATTTTAAAAATTCATATTTCACAAATTGTATATCAAAAAATTACAAATAATATATGCACGGAACTTATGAAATAAGAATTCAAAAAATATAAAATTTGTATAACAAATTGCCATAACCAGATAAAAATAGGGATGCAAAATTTTATGAATAGTTACATTGCTTACAAACTAATGTGTTTTTGCGGTAGCTAGCTTCTAATTATTGAAATTCAAGGTGCAGGACTAGCATTTATGACAAACACACCAAACACAACACCTAAGCAGAGTTCAGTTGGACATAAATAGTAAGGTTATTTACAACATATATGAAACACGTACATCACTAAATGAAACTGGTTCAAAATGTTTGATGAGGGATGGGATGGGACCAGTAAATTTCCTTTTCTTAAGGCCCAAAAAAGGTCCTCCCTCTATCTTGTCGCGTAGAAGAAAATAAAAATTGCCCCAACTTCAGTATATGCGTGTATTACTCCTATACGTACATATATAAGATCTTTTATATATATATATATATATATATATATATATAGTTGCTTATATAACCATTCACAAATGAACAATAAACAATTTTTTTATTGTTCATTTGTGAATGGTTAAAGCTTCCACTCTCCCAAATGTAAAGAAATTTGTAAAAAATTCTGATATATTATTAATTAATGAATTTTCCCTTTTTACATGTATTTATATAATAAACAAATCCTAAGGACAAAAAGACACTAGCACAAAGAAACTATTCAAAATTCAACCTTCTCCAAAAAAAAATAATAATAATAATTAAAATTGGAAAAACACAATTTTTGAGTCTAGACTATATAATTTGGTCGAAAAGCCACCTGCGTCAACAACAAATTAAGTTGTTATCTTGTTTGAGTTGGGATGTGTTCAATCGAATATGGATCTTTTGCATGTCAAAACAAACTCGTCGAAATGGGGTTAGAAAAACTATCAGCCCTCCCGTTTGCCAGGCAATTCAAAATGGACAATCAGTATTTATTTATTTATTTTTTTAACACAGGATGTACAGGATGACACGAACTCTTAGGACCCCTCAATAACCCAACTAATCCCCGAGAACCCAGAAGAGCGCTTCCCCACCTGAGCCGGGTAAGTCACTGCAGGGGCAACGGATGTTAGTCACAAAGAATATTGAGCGGGACTCGAACCCCAAATTTTGAACTTGCTAAGTTTTAATGGCCATATCTGAAGTAGATTTACATCAAAATTTGACATATAAATATGCTTAAAAGTGTGTAAAGTAAATTATTTGTCAGAACACATTTTTAATCAATCAGAAATTGTCTGCGTTGAGATTATTTCGTTACATAGACTGGAACGCAGGAAATTGTCCTCATGCGAATGCAAAAACTTCTCAGCTTGCTCAAATCATTCAAACTAACAAACCAATAGACTGTTGGTGAAGTTGGAATTTGACATCAAATTGAGGCATATCTTAAGATATCTAGTCTTCTTAGGGAAGAGGAAGTTGGAAATCAAAGGAATCTCAACTAATTATATTCGATCTTGAAATGAGTCCTACAATTAATTTGTTTTTCTTGGCCATGTTCTTTCTTAGAAGATCTGAGGTTGTATAAAGCTGTGTGGTTTTAACTAGCTGTCACTCAAGCAGGCCCTAGTACAATGAGTAAATATGTGTATGCATTGCCCGTATGGACAATTAATATCACTTTAACAATATATATATATAGGGACCAAAGATTTTCTTTAAGCTAATTTGTCTCTAAGCTAAAGACTGAATGCAGATCAAAGATCAAGGTGTACGTTTAGCTTTCTATTAAAGGTTCTGTTGAGAGTCAGGGCATGTACCTAGTTCACAAAATGACAAAAAGTACACATGTGAGGGTGAAAACAAATTACATGTCCACAGTTAAGATTTAAACAAAATTAATGCACATATAAAGCCATTTTGTTGCCTCTTTTTCCTGGACCTCTCCTATGTACCATTTCAATCAGTGATTTCAGTTTGCATATAAGCACCGTCACCCCACAAGACAGACTGATTAGGACCCCACACTAATTATTTTCTAAAAAAACATTGTTTTCTCCCTCACAAATTAAGAAATTGCAGGAGGCAAAAAAAAAAAAAAAAAAAAAAAAAAGGAAGAAAAAAAAGGTGCCCACTACAGTGATCAACTGAAAACCAAAAAAACTTAATAAAGTAGCCACAAGACTTCCAAACTAGAGTACCCACCACTTCACCTTCCACAACCAAGCCCTAACTTAGCGAGAATAGAAATAATTTTTTTCATGACTCCAACTTGGATATCTCTATTCCTCACATATGTTCTTTGTTTGCTTCCATGATCACTCCAGCTAGGATATAGACCAGCCACAAATCTACAATCATTTGCTGTAATCATCTAAAAAAACTCCTAGAGTACAACCCCATCTGAGCAGTGTTGGATCTCTCTGATTGTACTGCAATGGAGCAAGCACGACATTGGATGTGGACAAAGCGAAAACATGGCTTGATTTCTCATGTTCAAGCGTCAACCAATCCTTCGTGTGGTGATTCATGGGAAGAAAAAGCCTTCGCAGAAGATGCAGCTGGACCTCTTGGAGGGTGCATATGGCCTCCGAGATCTTACACTTGCAGTTTTTGTAGAAGAGAATTCAGGTCAGCTCAGGCTCTAGGTGGTCACATGAATGTCCACAGGAGGGATAGAGCTAGACTTAAACAATCTCCAAATCCCCATAGTGAAATTCTTCATCTTCACCATGAAAATCATCTTCAAAATATTCCTTGTAGATCCTTGGATGTTCATCAATATCCGTCTCAACTTTGTACCTTGGTTTATAAACCCAACCCTGATTCTAATAATCAAGGTGTTCTTGCGCCAACTTCCTCACCTTCTAGGGTTTCAGTTCCACCTATACAACAGAAATGTCTTGAAACCACCTTTGTCCCTCCTTTCTCTTCTTCTGTTGTCCAAGAAGTACACAACAAGAGGACCTCCTTATCTTCGCCATCCTCATGGTCAAGTTCGGTTGCAGACAGATACTTCCATAGCTCCAATCCAAAAAATGGAGGAGCAAACAACTCAGAACTATTTCGATGTGGGGAGAACAGGGACTATGTCAAAGCTGATTTGTCCGTGAGCTTGAATTTGGTTGTTTGTCGAGCTTGCCCAACCGAGTCTAGTGCCAAGGAGGATGCCATGAGCTGCAAGAGGCGGAGAATTGATACGACGCCATTACCTTTCTTCATGAAACAAAGTTCAGTTGATAGAAATCATCTTGAATCAGACGTAGTACTTGACCTTAGCCCTAAGAAGATAGAGGATTTAGATCTTGAGCTGAGGCTCGGCGATCCTCCAAAGGTGAAGTAGAATTGTAAACTCATGTCCTTATATGATATCACTTGTTTCTTCCGTTCATTTCTGTTGTTTTTCATTTTCTTTCCTCCCCTTTTTTTTTTCTTTTCTTCCTTTTGGTCTCTAAAGGTCAAGGCCTCTTCACTTTGAGTATGATCGATCACTTGCTTCTGATCTCTTAGTACTTTTGAGTTTGCAGCATGTACGTAAACTATATGAAAATCACAGAAAATCTTGAAATGTTTAGCTTATATATGTATGAGAACGATGATGCTCCCCAGTAAATAGCTAGATCTCAGCTTGATTAAATTCTGTCATGAATATTAATTAATTGAATACATAGGTATTCACTAGATAGGTGTTTCCCATGGAAAAGTCAGATATGTACGTATTGAGATTGATAATCTCTATGCCTTTCATGAACAGGTCATTTTCTAGGGATGTAAACTCCCAATTTTTGTGATCGTAAATAAACAAAGGAGTGCGTGTTCTTCGTTTAGAATTAGGGTTTACTGGCGAACCCGATTATGATACAGAAATAATATGTGCCTTTAGAATATAATCTACCATCCTATAAGGAGGTATGATATATTTGTTCAATTTGTGAAAGAAATACTGCAGACAGTTTTTCGAATCATCTTTAAGATTGCAAGCCTGTAACTTATATATATGGTTTAATTTGAAGTTCAGTCCTCAATGTACAAGAGATCATTTTGAAGTTCAATCTCAAATCTCACTGTTCAAGACAGTGCCTCTAAAACTTTTATCAATTATCATTCATTGAGGTAAAAGATATTGGTAACATGCAACTAATAGTACTTCTTCAGTCATTATATTGTTACACACTAACGGTGGAGTGCATGCATGTCTGGAATTTAGGATAGATCGATGTATTTTTTGTGTGTGTAGAGAGAGAGCATTTTTTATTTTGCAGTAAGATAAGATTAGTAGATGTAGCAGGGGTTGAAGAATTAAACTGACTAGCTAAAAACTGCATGGAATATAGTCATGAGCTGTTAGCTCTTTTTCCCATTCAGTACCCTACTGACATTCTATCAGAGCATAACTAAACTAATCCACAAAACACACAGACACACACAGTTGGGTTTTCAAGAATCAAATAAGTCAGATACATCACAACATGGATTCTCTTTTCTCTTGTAATATATATCATCATCAGATCTGTTGCAGTTAGAGTGTCTCCACATAAATCCACGCACTTATGTTCTCTTTACTCACTTTTCTTTCACTACTCAATCCATCCAAAATACCCAACAACTACATGGAATCAATCCATTTAATAATTCTACATAATACCCTTTTTAAATCACAAAGAGAATATTATCACATCATGACCAAAAGGCGCTAACTACACCTCTTTTGTTTGTTCTTCTGTATTATAATTAGTTAATTCAAATTCTCAACAACTAGCAGCAAAAAAGAATGAAGATTGAAGAATAAAGAATGAAACCCTTCAAAACCCTAACCCTAGTTATACTCTTAAAGCTGACCACTTGTTATTCCACCTAGTGTATTGCTTGAAATCATGCTGGTTACAAGGCAATCATTCTGGCTTCATTTATATTAATTCTTTCTTTTCAGGGAATGTTGATTGAACCTTGCCTTGGACTTGAATGATTTTGCAGAGAAACTGATCAGAAAGGGCTGTTATATATATATATGAAGTGAATTTAAGTCATACCTAATATTCCAAGAAAGAACTATGAATTGAAGATTGTGTTAATAATTCGAGGGTTTTTTCGAGGTGGGTATTTTGTCTTCTACAATGCATGTGAAAGTGAAAGAAAGAGTTAAAGAGTACTAGTGTGAATTGGGTGTTTAATATTAAATAGAAAGTGAGATTGTTTGCTTTGGTTTTGACAAAGTTCTACATCAGTGTAAGAGGTCATGAAGTTGATTGGTTAGAGTTTGTCTTGTTTAGAGCTGTTGAGTTGTATGGATTTAATTGATAACTAGTAACATCTCTATACGGTGGTCTGATGAGCTGCAGAGAGGTGTTAATGAAGTTTAGAGGGAGTAAGTGACAGAGATGGCACATGGGGCATCAGATGACCTTTGTATATATATACACACACACACACACACACACTACTGCGATGAGTTTATATATATGTGTATATTATATATACACATAGAATTTGGTAAGGGAATGGGGAGTTATTCTCAGCTAGCTAGTGTGGGTTTCTCTGTTTAGGAATTCTGTAATTCCATAGAATTGATAAAGGAATAATGAATTCCAAGAAAAATATACCATTACATTATTTATTTGGATGCGTTGTAAATAATTGTTTACTATTGTTTTGACAACTAAGGGTATATTTGCATGGGAGAGAGCTCCCTCCATATCACGAGCTCAGCAGCCTCTATATATATATATATATATATATATATATATATATATATATATCATAGAAGCTATATCCTCTTTACTATATACATATGTATATCTTAGGGCTTGAAATGGAGTGAGTTTCATCTGAAATCTTATCCCATTCGAAGACATTTTATGGGGTTTAGACTTTAATTTTGGATTCAATTTAAGGACGAGCTAGTTTGATATGAGATTTGTCATAGATTCAGGTTACGATTAGGTATGTATATACACATATATATAGGTTGGATGTGAATCTTGTCTATAAAAATAGATACTTAATTGAGGATATTGTATACTTTTTTCCGAATATTGATTCTAACTTTAAAACTTGAATCTGCTCAGATGAGCTATATTTTGATCCTAATATACATATCTGAGTCACAGAGTCTGCCCACTGGTGAGTCGCCACTCGTGTCCATGCATATCGGGGCCATCACCAAAATGTTGAGCTACAATGCAAGGTCACATTTGAGAACCATATTGGCAGAAAATACAAACTCACTCAAATCCAGGACCAGAACTAACTGAAAAGAACGTACTGGAGTATAAATGAATTAATATTGCCTTTTCCATGGGTAATGATGTTTCTTGTATCAACATATATAGAGTACAAAAAATCTCAACTCACATCTAGTAGCTAGCACTGAGCAGTATTGATCTATTTTCTATTGATACAAGATCTGATGACTGCAATTTGCAAACACATAAATCAAATTCATCAGTTTTGGGTGGTAATTGGCTTAGCAAAATCATGAAATCACTCTCTTTTAAAAAAAGCTTAAAGATACATTAAAGATGTTCATAGACTTAACATGAACTCTATATGAGCATACCTCTTTTTTATATCAGCTAAGTGTTCACCCACACTTTCTTCACCCTGGAACTGGATCCCCTCCCCTTCTCTTTGAGGGTAAGGAGGTAATTATACTATTGTGCTAATGTTCCGCATACTTTTGTAAGTTAAGGTTAATTAGTCCTAAATTGTTCAGTTTAGTTGGGTTAGACGGACATTACCTAATTTTTTAATTATAATGCTATCATTGTCTTGCCGACAGTACCTTAGCTTGCCGACAGTACCTTAGCTTAAGCTTAAGGTAAATTGAGGTTAGATTGAAAAGATTCAACTCCAACTTGATTAATAAAGAAGCTGCCTAAGTTAAACCGGTCAAAAGACAAAAAATTGCACGAGAGGTGCATATAGATCGAATTGGATCGAATTAGACATAAAATCAAATCCAATTCAATCTTAATGAATTCATAAAATTTAAATTTAATCGAATCTGATTCATAAAATTTAAATTTAATCGAATCTGATGGCAGCCTTACCCCAATACGATAAAACATGGGATTGGTTTTACGGATTGAATTTTAAAAATGATTTTAAAATTTTTTTTAGCCCAATATAAAATTGAGATGAAATAATTTATGATAAAGAATAATATTAAATCATCATGAACCTTGGTGGCTTGATCTGACCAATATTCTCTGAATTGATCTGACCAATAATGCTTCAATCCTCCACAACAGAAATCACATAACTCGATCATGTTCCAGACAGCTAGCACTCAATTCCAAGTATTTTGTTAGCGCTGCTGTAAAAGTCCCCACATTAAACAGAATTAATCCACTACATAGTACCATAGAGATAAAATGTTGAAAATTATGTACAAAATAGTAGAACATTAGAATACTGAAGAAACTCTAATCACTAAAATGCCAAACGTTAGTTTAAGGTTAAAAGAGTAAAGAGTTGGATTCACGGATCCAATTTTTGAAACCTAAATTCGTAATCCTATTCAATTCCTATGAATTATTTATTTATAAATCTCTCACCAATCTAATGGACTAAAAAATCAATCAAATCAAATTCGATTCACAGATCAAATGAACACTTCTACATTGCACCTTTTATGAGAATTTTTATTAATTTATTTACTCTTTTACTTTCTTTTTTTTAGGTACTTTTTACGAGTGTTAAAATGAATTAGAGAAAACTATACAAGAACATATGGAGGCTATCCTTAGTGCAGCCCAGGACAGACACAAAGTGACAAACCTTGTTTCATTATATTTGTTTTTCTTTAATTTATTATTATCATTATTATTATTCCAAGGACATAAACCTAAGTTTTATTTATTATTTTTGAAAGTTAGAGCAATCAGGCATACTCATATCCACGTCTCCTTATGTATCCAACACAAGTTACACAACACAGTCGGCTGTGATGTACCTGCTCCTTCAAAAGCCCTTTGAATTTGAATATAAAATAAACAGTAACTTGATTCTTTTGTTAGTCTTAACTCTCTCTTTCATACTTAATGGGAAAAGCTTTTTCAAAATTTTTCCAGCAACCACAGTTGTTTTGTGATTTTGTTAAGCAGAAAACAATATTTCTATTTTTAGAGTATGTTTAACACTATTTAGAACTGTAGGGTCGCAACTCGGACAGGTTGGGTGGGTTTGAGGTACAACTTGAGCCCAATTGTAATATTTCCATTTTCTATCATTTTCCAATTTTTTCCAAAATTTTTGTTGTTGCAAGGGTATTTTCGTCTTTTACCGTTTTGCGTACTGGGCACTGCGGAGTGTGCCGGTTATATCCGAGAGTTGTTTGGAGCATTTCATTGAGTCCAGGACTCTTTGAAATGTAATGGTAACCATTTTCGTATTTTTTCCGTTTTTCGGGCCGGACGGTCCCGTATGAGACCCGCTACCGGAAATGTCACGTACGGGGGCGTTGGCTAGGTTCATTTGCATCGTATTTATTTTTATTTCATATATTTTATGTGGTTATGAATTTTTATATGTGT